TGTTGACACGGTATCCGGAGTGGAAGTAACGAAGTGTCCTGGGGACCGTTAGGGACAGAGGGGTCAACACGATGTACACTAAAGCCTTTAGTCAGTACATAAGGCGGCAGTGTGGCACTCAAGTGTCTGCACTTCTCAGCTGTTAATTTTGATGTTCATCACGAAAATTGTGACCAAGTCCCAGGTTGCTTATCTGACTTTCTGTCTCATTTACACACAATTGCAGGGTCTAAATTGTTTCTCTTACCATTGACAACACAACATACTGTACACGTATTGTTTCTCACTTTTGATAATTTTTTTCATTTTTTGTATTTCTTTATGTTTCTTTATTATTATTATAATAATTATTATTATTATTATCATTACATTTTCGCCCCCTAGGCCCCGATGTGGGTCAGTGACCTGTGCCCGGGTGGGCTAATCCCCGTAAAAAATTCACAGCGGGGTTGACGGAGTGTGCCCCAGGCGCAAACTATGCAGCCCTTGGGACAGAAGGCGAGTGCTGTACCCACTATAGACTAGACTGTCGCGCCCCACCCGGAGGTAGACGCCCTTAATATATTGCCGCATTGTGTCAATACAATAATGTTTGAATTTTGACCATAAACCACAGAGTCGTTCTTGAGGTAATGTCCAGAAATTAATATTGAAAAAATGACAAGAAAGACCAAACCAGGACGTAAGCTGCGTCAGCGGGGGGTGGTGTCGAGCGGTGCTAACCTCTAGGAATTACAGTTACATTATCATCTGGAAGCAAGACGTGGCCAGCGTGAGTGCTAGGTGTGTTGTGGTTAACCTTCATAGCTCTCACTATAGGTCACTTACCCCTCCCCCCTCCCCTCTCTGTCGGACGACCGCTCTTACCTGCAGCGTCTGTGTAACCCCATCCCCCACACACAGTACAGGCAGCGTCCAAACAAAACAACTACACTTTTGTTTATATTGAAGTAAAATACAAATATATATTGAAGTCTCTCTCTCTCTCTCTCTCTCTCTCTCTCTCTCTCTCTCTCTCTCTCTCTCGACCAATAATATTCTCGACTCAAATGAATCCAACCGGAGCTACGAGAGAGAGAGAGAGAGAGGGGGTGTTGATGGCACGGGGAGATAACAGGTACTTTGTAGTAGTGAGTGACCTTTTGCTTATAGTAAGAATAAGTCATAATGTGTTTTAATTATTACAAAAGGTGAAAGTGAGCTCCATAGCCCTGATAACCCAATACCTTGCTCCAAAACTAAGGAACACGAGATCTGGTCCCAACAAGATATATCATCTCTTACTCACACTTGGAGATGTACCCCGGCCAGCCACGAGTCCCCGGATTTACCAGTACCCAATTTGGTGCTGTGCGGGGAACTGTACCTTAATAACTGCCTCCCATATAATACCAAAGGCTATACACGACTTAATTCATCATTTACGTCAATGTTGGTCACTTTCTGAGTTACTGTTTACAAGAATTAGTGAAGGTCTTATAATAAACTTAACTTTTCCCATTAATCTGTTGTTAGATATGTAAAGATTCTAATTTTCTATTATATTATTCGTTATTTCTCTCACTAACCTGAAGACCAATGCCTTTTCCCGATACACAAGGAGACAACGTGATTGACAATGTATTCGATCACTTTTCTGCCCAAATAATAAAGATAGGAACCCATTCAAGGTGGGTGACCGAAGGGTGACTCAGCCGCCGACCCTTTCAAAAACAAAATCAAACAAAACCTCAATATTTTTGTTAGGTTAGGTTGTATTTTTTGTCCCACACTGACAAATAAGGCTGGGGGAAGGGGTGGTGAGGGGTAGCGATGGTTGGGAGGGGGGAGGGGTGAGGGTGAGTAAGAGGCATTAAAAGGGGGGTCAGATTGGAGGGGTGTGGATGGGGAGGAGGTGAGGGGTGCAGGGGAGGATGGAAAATGGAATTGATAAGTTTGAAGGTGGGGGAAGGATGGGGTGAGAGTGGGGAAGCAGGGGAGAAGATGGGGTGCAGGGGGGGAGTGGGGCAGGGGAGAGGAGGGAGGCAGGGAGTGTCGAAGGGAGAGGGTGAGGAGGGGAAGGAGGTAGGGAGATGGGAGGGGAGAGAGACAACAGGGGGAGGGGATGGGGTGAGGATGGTGGGCAAAGGGGATAGGGTGGGGATGGTAGGGGGCAAGGAGTGGCTGGTTCACCTTGCTCACCTTCACCCCAGGATCACCACAGCTGCACTCCCCCAAACCTTACTAGAACTGTGTCTTCATCCCAGTCCCCGCAAATTTGACTCGATGGTGAATCCTCCTACCCCCCGACGCTACCCCCTTATTTACCTCCTGTGTTCTCTCAGAATTTCTATTTGTTGTCGGACTAGTGCACTACTGACCTACTTAAGGACCTTCAGTTGTTGAACCGCAGTTAAAAACATTATAATAACAACGACTCGTAACTTTAACACACACACACTCGGGAATTTCCATTCTTGAGTATCCCTGCCCCCCCCTCCTCCACCAGCCCCATTTACGCAAGACCGCCACGACAGACAATAACTAACGCATGACACAACCCTAACACACTATTACCTTAGCTAGGTGGTCAGCCCGCCCTCTCTTACCTCCTCCTAAATTTCTTCAATTTCCGAACTATAACTTCCTTCCCCCACCATAAATATATACAGGGTGTCTGAAAAAATGTATACACTTTGCCTTACAAGACTTCCGTAGTCAATAGCGACGTTCACACGATCTCCAAGTAAATCTATAAAGCGGCAGTGTGTATACATTTTCTGAGACACCTTGTATACGTCCAGAAAGGAAGCAGCCCATCTATTAACACCTGTAGTAGTCGTGACCACACTCCCTTCCAGTAGTTGTTTGAGCCTCTCTCTTGTTCTACGTGTAACATACAGAGGTTACTCACCCAGTGTAGTGGACAACTAACATTAGACTGAAAACTAAGAGGATATCCATATAGAGCCACACTCGTGTTCTTATCATGTTATTACTGTGCTTCAACAGCTAAAGTCTTTAAGATTAGTGATCACACTATTCCAAAAACATTTTAAAAAGAATGAGAGATAATATGCTCTTCTTTTTACAACACTGATGCTGTTCCTTGAAAGGGTATTGTTTGTGTATTAACGGAGTCAAGACTTGTGACAAGTTGACAACACAACACACACACAGGATGTAGGTGACGCGAGGCCATGTATGTTGTGGGGAGGAGGGGGCAGGACGCTCCTCAAGTCACAGACACTCCCGGCTGTTTCGGGGAACTTGAGATGAGGAAAAACACACAAAGAAAGTCAAAAATTTCCGAAATAATATTGGTATAAAAAAGGAATAAATGTAGGAAGAAGTAAGTGTTAAGGAAATGTATATATTGTGTTCAGTGTTTTAAGGATAATCGTGTTGGCAAACTCAACGAAAAAATAGCTCCTATTTGGCACAGTTGATTACTTAATTCATGACGCCCCTCGTTATCTTTTCCTAACCAAACTACATCCAGATTAGGTCAGTACTGCCGCTAATTACTTCTAGTTTGTATCACTTCATAGTTCAAGTAAATAATCTAAATCTTATACCACAAAGTCACATCCCTAACTACGCCATTTCACTCTTGCTGTTAAAAGTCACTGTAAATTACTGCCGCCTCTAGTAATATAAAAAATAAGGTTTTGGACCAGCTGCCCCCGGGGGAAGTTTTTGTCGTGAGTAATACTGTACTAATCAGGGATTTCCACCCGACAATGGACAAACAAAGTTTACGGTGAAGATTAGTAATGTGGCGACACTCAAGGGAATAAAATACAATTATTGTCTATATTTGTTTAAAGCAACATACATATACATCTCGACTACTATTATGAATATACAGGTATGTTATGAACGAAAGGTACAAAATAACAAGAACCATGATCACTTAATTACTTTACACAAACTTACGACGGAAATTTGAAGTAAAAAAATGAAGTAATTTTGGTGTAAACATTTATCAGTATTAATAATATATAAAGCAACGACTTTTATCAGAAATAGACAAAATGAAAACTATACAGGAGGTACAGGAACACTACAACATTTAACTACAAAATGTAGGTTTCTTTGTCTGTCTCTGTAAAGGTAAACGGAAAAGGCGCATTTTAAGGCTCCAGTAGATCGCGTCCAATAAAGTTAGGTTTGGTTATCTTTATATCAGGTTACGTTAGGTTAGGTTGCATTACGTTACGTTTGACTAAGGTTAGGTTAGGTTGTGACATTTTTTCCCGTGACTTTTTACCCTGGTTTCATTAGAGCAGTGACCACCGAGAATAACTAGTGAATATTACTGGCTTACATTTGTTTTATACTGAGTCTGCTGTATGTCGAAGCTGTCACCAACACAGCAGTCATACTGTTCCTTATCGAGTTCTATTAGCCAATGTTAAGCAATAACTTGATTAGACCGAACTGCACTGGCTAACTATTATCCCCGGAATACGACGCCTCTGAGTAGACAGGTACAAATGGCGTAAAGAAAGTTGCCCCGTAGTTTCACCTTATACCCGAGGATCGAACCTTGGACCCCTTACTTGCTCAACGAACAAGTTGACTACAACGCCACAGCAATAATCTAAAGTAACACCACACCCTGTATACTGATCAACTTTACAGCTGTGTTATGAACAGTAGCAGTTTAACTGATGCAGGCAGTAATGTGAGAGAAGGATGTGGACATAATAATAATGGTTGGTACTTTAGGTGATATAACAACTCATTATTGAGAGAGCAATGTTATTTATGCCCGAAAATCTTTATGCATTGAGTTAACGGATGTCTAGTGGACAAATTACTTGTTATTACGAACCACACAACCAGGGTTTTGGTGGAGGTGTTACTTTACGGCGAGCCTCTGAGACAGCTTTATCTGGTGCATAATTCTAAAAAAACATTGCTGTTATTACAACACTGATACAGGTTATGAAAGACCAAATATTCACCTCTTAGAGCAGCTTTAGGAAAGGAGGAGGAGGAGTTACGTCAAGTTGCGAGGCTAGCTGGCAACCCGAGTTACCTTACGGGTATAGGAAACCATGTCCGCCTAGAGACTCAGAACAGTGCTAGACTCCGTCGAGGCTCGAGGACAGTGTCTCCTCTCTTACAGTTTTGTCAGGTACGTCAATAACTTTCTTCCTGAATCATATCATATTACTTTCCACAGTAACTAATACTTTTGTATGAATTGATAAAAAGCCACGAGTGAGTTTGATCTTCCCGAACAGTGCCGAGGAAACTCATATCCTTGGAATAAGTTGCTGGTGACTGCTGAATTCCAGTTACCTCAAGTACACGCAACCTCTCTGAGACAATCATCTAACATTTTATAATTGATGACGGAATTTTTGTGGTTAATTATGTTATTATTAGGAAGTGGACGGAGACAAGGTTGAGTTACCTTAAATAGTGTGTGAGCAAACGCGTATAACGACCAAAGTAGAAAATGGGAAAAGTGTGGCTAGCGTGCGGAGGGGAACCCCTTCCCCCCACGACTTTGTGTTGTGACTTCTCCATCCCTCATGTCTGGCTGTGCCTTGAGCCCCAGCATGCCTTCCATCCATTCCCCACCTTAACCTAAAAAGAAAAAAAATCCCTTGTCTGCCTGTGATGGATATACAGTACATCAGCCTTCGTATCAATAAGCAACAATAACCCGAATCACACAATAAACAATAACATAACAATCAAATATTAATAGATTTCGTCACTATAGCCATATAAAGAGTTATATAAGTATATTGATATAGCCACCAACTATGAATTAATAATCCCTTATATACAAATTTGTCATAATGTATATAATGCGTCACAGGTGTCACCGATCTTCCCTGGCTTAATCTCATCATAAAACTCTGTCGTCAACCTACCGTGCAGTCAGTGGAGGGAGGGAGGGGGGCAGAGCAGGTCCTTGGGAGAGACCACAGGAACGGGAAAACAAGTTGTAGTTTTACACTTAGATGATTACCATACCACATGGCCATAGTTGATGCTGTTGAGGGGTACGGCCAGCATCCTCAGACACCTGGACATTAACAAGTTTTCTTAAAGTACACGTTTATTCGAAGCTCGGTTGAAGGGTGTGGGGGGAGTCATTTTTATCATCCCGTTTCAACACGCCTGTCCTTTCTACTAACTGTCTACGTATTTCTCACGCTCCTGTCCTTTCTACTAACTGTCATGTCGACGTATTTCTCACGCTCCTGTCCTTTCTATTAACTGTCATGTCTACGTATTTCTCACGCTCCTGTCCTTTCTACTAACTGTCAACGTATTTCTCACGCTCCTGTCCTTTCTACTAACTGTCTACGTATTTATCACGCTCCTGTCCTTTATACTGTCTACGTACTTCTCATTATTTCTATACAACCTTTGTGATTCTGTCTGTACACCCAGGTACATATCCGGTACTGTATAACGAGGATGTGTTCAGTGACGAGAATAGCATCTACAGAACACCACTCTGAAGGAATGGTGTGTGGGGCCCGAGAGGAGGTGTGTGGGGCCCTGGGGGAGGTGTGTGGGGCCCTGGGGGAGGTGTGTGGGGCCCTGGGGAGGGTGAGTGTGTCGGGCCCCAGTGTGTGTCGGGGGGAGGTGTGTGTCGGGCCCTGGGGGAGGTGGTGTGTCGGGCCCTGGGGAGGTGGTGTGTCGGGCCCGGGCCCTGGGAGGTGGTGTGGGGGGGTGAGTGTGTCGGGCCCTGGGGGGGGAGGTGTGTGTCGGGCCCTGGGGGAGGTGGGTGTGTCGGGCCCTGGGGGAGGTGAGTGTGTCGGGTCCTGGGGGAGGTGAATGTGTGTGCCTTGGAGGTGAGTATGTGCGCCTTGGAGGTGAGTATGTGGGCCCTGGGGGTGAGTGTGTCGGGCCCCGGGGGTGAGTGTGTCGGGCCCTAGGGGTGAGTGTGTGGCCTGAAAAAGGTGAGAGTCGCTTATCAGTACCGGTATATACAGGGTTTTTCCATCTCAAGAGAGTTTTACGTGTGTGTGTGTGTTAAAAACTCGAGAGAACTACACCCACCACTATCACCACAGCTCACCCACCACTATCACCACCACAGTTCCTCTCCCACCCTCGATATCCTTTTCCAAATCCACTCCAAACCACAAGCTTCTCAACCTAACCTAACCACACACTTCTCAACCTCTCTTTTCTCTATAACATTTCTCTCCCTGTTGACTCTTCTGCCTCACTTGCTGCTGCTTCCACCATCTACACGTGTTCATATGGTCGTGTTTATTTGTGTTCTTTTAACTTTTGCTTCACTTGTGAATTTTCTCCATGTTCCATTATTCATCTCAGCTGTTGTTCTTCTGTCCTCAACTAAACATCAGTGTTTTCCTAACATTTCTTTTTTGTTTTGTTTTAAGAATACAGATTTCAACTCTTTAACTTCTTGACTTTTTAGGATGTCTCCGGCGAGTCCACCGCGGTGGGTGCAATTGGTGATGGTGGGCGTGGTGGTGAGCATGGCGACTGCTGGGCCTGCGCCACCGAGTACGCCGCTCCGAGTTAAACGACAACTCCCAGGAATAGGCGGGCTATCTATCGAAGAATTGAAATGTCGACTGGAAAATTCAGCAGATATCAGTAACAACCGTTGTAGTGAATTGAACAATGAGAACACGGGGCCACCACCACCAAACTCGGAATGTACCTGTACCAGATACTGGAAGTGTCGTGACGACCAGCCAGACCCCTCACCAAACGTCAGACCAGGTGAGAGAAAGAATGTCTTATCAATCCTACTTACTGATCATCACAGAGTTTTCACTATTATGGTCATGTCCATATTCTGACACTTTTACACTTCCACACATTCAAGTGAGAAAGCAGACTCAATAATCACATTACTTCCAGTTAGTATCACAGGCGGATTGCTCAACAAAGTGGACCTGAAATCGGGGATTTCGAATGTGTGCCAAGTTCCCGAAGACATTTGCTGCAAAAACGTAGACCCCTCGGAAAACATAAGCCCTGTAGAGATCTTACCATACGAGCCTAAGTGCGGCCGACACAATCCCCAAGGCAGCATCGGCGCCCTGTTCCAAGGGTTTACGGTACGTCTCACAGTTTTTACTAATAGATACAGAAAGCATTATTGAGCAGTAAAAAAATACGTGTTCAGGAAAATGTACGAAACCATTATATAAGAGAAACTACATTACAGGCATTTACAGGTGGAAAGATTGTGAACTGCAGTCCTAAAGGTATATATAATATGCATGAGAGAGAGGATTTTAAAGAACATAAATTTTCTGATCTTCAGGACAGACAAGCACAGTTTGGAGAATACCCGTGGATGGCGCTAATCAGAAGAGCGGACAGACCGTTAGAGAGAGATCGCTCGGGTTTTGTCGGTGGCGGCTCCCTTATTAGTCGCACCGTGGTAATGACTGCTACCCACACTCTTAATGAGTAAGTGTTTTAGGTGTTAATGTTGCTTTAAAAGTTTAGGTTTAATGGCCCTTTGTTTCAAGTGTTTTAATTCTTGAGGTTTGATAATTGTTTATCGTATACAGTATGTTTTAAGGCTTGATAAATTAATATAAGTTTATAATAAAACTTTTAACGATGGATGGGATAGTTTTTCACACTGTATCTACTTTCTGATCCTAATACTTTATATTACCCCACAGCTTACTGGCCAGTCAGTTAATGGTACGCTTGGGCGAATGGAACTTGGAAGACACCACCGAACCGGTTGCCTACCAAGAAATCCCAGTCAGGCTAAAACTTAATCATCCCAACTACTCTGCCATAAACGTTGAGTACGACGTGTCTTTGCTTATACTTCAGTTTCCGGCAATGTTGGGCCCTACAATTGATACGATCTGCTTACCGACCCCTGGGCAAAATTTCGACGGGCTACGATGCCGAAGTTCAGGATGGGGGAAGGATTCATTCGGTGCAGAAGGAAAATTTAACCAGGTAAAGAGAGAGAGTGTGTGTGTGTGTGTGTGTGTGTGTGTGTGTGTGTGTGTGTGTGTGTGTGTGTGTGTGTGTGTGTGTATTTGTTTTGGGGGGAGGGGAGTTAAGTCATTATCCCTTTACAAATTAAATCTCTATCTTTCGTACCCCTCTCTCTTTCCTTCTCACACCTCCCTCCTCTTCTTCCCACAGATCATGAAGAACATCGACTTGCCGGTAGTAAGCCATAATGATTGTCAGAATGCCCTCCGTAAGACTAACCGTCTGGGCTCCGACTTCAATCTTCACCAGTCGTTTATGTGCGCTGGAGGAGAGCAGGATAAAGACGCATGCACGGGTGACGGTGGTTCGCCTCTTGTGTGCCCGTCACCGGAAGACCCCTCACGTTATTACCAGGTGGGTGCGCTAGTGAAAGTTCTTAAAGTTTGTAGGTTAGATAGTGAAGACTCTCTCTCTCTCTCTCTCTCTCTCTCCTCACACATTTTAAGTCTTGTGACAACACCACCACACTTAATGATATTTTAGTAAACTTAATATGCTTTTTGTTTTATTCATCGTTCATTGCATTTTAATTTTATGCATTGAAAACATTATATCAAAATACAAACAAATTATATCAGAAATATCAAAAAATATATCAAGAACAAAATAATTTTGTGATAATATTCAACAATTATGTCAAAATAGACCAATTATATCAGAATACTCAACCATTACTGTTTATTATTTTATTCATATACAAAAGAATTGTATAAAAAACTCACGAGAGAGAGAGAGAGATATTGCCAATAAAATCATTATACCACAAACATGGTACCTACCTAAACCTGTGTTTCTTCCCCCTACCCTTCTATTACTGTACTTACCAGTGTGTTCTTTCTACAGGTTGGGATAGTGGCATGGGGCATTGGATGTGGAGTCCAAGGTTTACCTGGTGTGTATGTCAACGTGCCGGAGGTCATACCCTGGGTTAGTAGCGTGCTCCAAGCTAATTTAAACTTCGACATCCGCTCGGACCCAACCGCGGGATAATAGTGAAGTCACCGCTGGCCAAGCCTTAGAGAAATGCACTGCATAGCAACTGTTTATGTGTAAGAGTATATTGTATGCATCCAAACAACAGGGGACAGCCAAAGACAGCAAGCATGAGTGCCGGTTTAACTTTATTCTGAAGAAAGCTTGTTTACGTTAAATAGATTTTCTTGCCACATCCGCAGAGACAATATTTTGCACTAATGTGTATATATATATATATATATATATATATATATATATATATATATAAATATATATATATTTCCTTAGCCCAATAACGCACGCGGACTTCTACATACAATCAACACCTCAACCCGCCAGAATTCGAACCCACGGCCCACGGGCCCATGACTGTGACTGGGGAACGCTACCTCTGGACCACCAGGATACTAAAAGCAGTCCTAGACTCTGTTATATTTCACACAAAGCCTGTTCAACGAGCTTATGGTGCCGTGAACCTCTAATGGGGACTACCCGTATCACGTAGGTGGTCCAGAGGTAGCGTTTCCCGGTCACAGTCATGGGCTCGTGGGCAGTGGGTTCGAATCCTGGCGGGTTGAGGTGTTGATTGTATGTGTGCAGGTCTATTTCTGGTGACGACACCAATGAAAACTAAGTTACATGTGTTTTAGCTGGTCGCATGGGGTGGCGAGCTAAGACGGTTGCATGCGTCTCACCAGAGTCTTTTCCTTTTCTTCAGCAAAGCTAATCTTCTTCACCCTGGTTGCTAGAACCTCCTTCTCGAACTTGTATCGAACACACTCCTTCAAAGAAGCAGTGTGTTCACCCTGGCAATGGAAACACAAGAGTGGCCTATGGCACGCACTACCATCATGCGACTCCTGGTCACAGGAAACACACGTCAGGCAAATTCTTGATCCATCTCCGACAAAGCTGGATGATGTGGCCTGACTGTTGACAATGGTAACATTACCTCTTATCTACATAATGGTGCACCAGGTGGTGTGTACCTTTTCTGGAAGGAGAAAGATCAAAGGTCACGAAGAGGGTGGGTGTAGAAGTGAGCACCCCATCCACCCTCTTCTTCACACACTCGACTTTGGTCATGTGTTCCTAAAGCATCTAATATGTCTGCTTTCATGTGATGTACAGTCTGGTGCATGAACTACACTATGGCCGAGTGAATATCTCATGTCTAGTGTATGAGACATAAGCCTTTCACAGGCAGCCACAATCTCATCATACACCTTAAAGATAAAGTTCCTTGATTGATTTACTGCCATCTGGGCAGTTCACGATATAGTTATCAAATGGGGGCTCGAACACCCCCTGACTTTGTTTCATTTATCATTGCCGACTTTCCCTTTGGCAGGGCTGCTGCCCCGTTGGGAGTGGGCTTGTCATTACCCGAAGGGATCGACAAGCCAGGTTGGCCAGAAAAGGAGGACTCGGAGGCCTGGCCATTAGCCATAGGAGTTTTGTTTCATTGATTTTTCTCAAATATTTTAATTTATTAATGCAAGACCCCAGGATTCGTGCACCTCCACCTACCAGGAGAGGATCACCCGAGCGCAGGTTAGCAAGGTGCTCACCATCATGGTCAACCCCGTGACTCAAAAGGTGGTTACCAATGGCCTATGATTACAGACATACAGGTATTTGAATCACCGTAATGATTCAATTAATCAGTTAATATTTTTTGTAATTTAATCATTAATTAATCAAAACACTTTCTCAACGCATGATTAAACTGACTAATTTTGTCAAAGTTTTCTATGATATGTTTTCAATCACTTTTCATAAGCATTTTAACTTGTACTAATTACTAAGGAATGTCCAAATGTTTTATTTGTGTTTTCTATTATTTTTAAATATAAAAGAATCAATAAATGTATATAAATGTTATTATATGCATTTTATTTTTAATGACTTTCCTCGGTTAATCACGAATTCGAAAATTAATTTAATATTTAGCTAATTATTTTTCATGACTCCCTAGAAATTCCTGTACATATGAAGTGAATGCATATAATTCAATATGTTTTGTTGTTATACAGTAGTTACAGCTTGTAATGTTATAAACAAGCTGATGACACCGATAAAAAAAGGCTACATAATTGTTCACCCTTTCCTTATCCTTACATTTTATAGTGGAGGGGGAGGGGGGGGGGTGGCACTGGTTTTCATAATGGCTGTCAATAGTTATTTTCAGGCAATATTTCTGGTATTTAATTGGTTACAAAAGACTTTGTTACTCAGGAACGCCTGGCGCATTCCTTCCGACTAATAACGTCGCAAACAAAAACTGCTTCAATAAGGCTTGGACTAATGTTCAGAGCCCTGCTGTCACCTGTTGGCTGGGTGTGGCACAGGGCCATTATGCCTCATTGATTCAGTTCATAAAAAAAACACCAAAACAATCAACAATAATGACCATATGAGTCAATTTAAGCATTGCACATTAGCAGGGATATCTCAACACTTTCCATATTTTATAGATATTTCCAATGCAACTACAGTACTGTATATCATCTCGATTATCCAAGAAAGTCTTAGGACTAGCAGCCCTTCAGACAAGGCCCAATAGGGCATATCAAATTGAAACATTCACAATCCTGAAAGGGTTGGAAAACATGAACCATGGACATTTCTTTGATGTTATGCACCACCATTATGAGGGGACATCAAGGAGCTTTATCAAAGTTCCTTGGCGGACGTAACTACAAGCTATCATACGGTACTGTCCATAATCTGAATGGTTGTAAGTTGCCATATTCACTGCCGACAAGTAGCCAAAAGTCGCTAGAAGAAAAAAGTAGCCAATACCGTAAAAAAAAAATGAAAATCTTCGCATGCTAACCTACATAATGCATACCATTAATACAATACTACTAAAAGTGGGCTTATGAATTGATAAATAATGTAATGATAAATGAATATTCGTACTCACGAATACTTAATGCTTTCACTGCTGGCCCATCCTTTTTAAAATACCTGTATATTTTGGCTAAAGCTTGATTTTATTTATACTATGAACCCCTCAGCTCTTAAATATACAAGAACACACCATACATTAATAAATACTGTCATTAACATCAATCCATACCAATAGTGTGCAGGACTTACTTTGACCACAGTCGCTAAGAAAAATAAGCAGCAGAAACGATGTTACAAGACCTCATCAACCTAACCAAAGAAACCTACCTTACTTCCTAGCCATGAGGCTCCACCCTCTGGACCCCCCTCCCCCGGCATATTAAACGGAAAGAACTATAATATGGTGGAATTTGATTTTTTTTATTGGACATGAGAGCAGCCGCCAAAACAGTGTGCTTCATAAACATACACTAGCGACTGGTGTCGATTAGAGATGGTTGACTGTGTACCGCCGCATCACCGCTGAGAAAGACAAAGTAGTGTGTGCCAGCATAGTAGTGTGTCAGACAAAGTAGTGTGTGCCAGCATAGTAGTGTGTCAGACAAAGTAGTGTGTGCCAGCATAGTAGTGTGTGCCTAGTCGCCTAATTATCTATTAAACAGTAATTTCCCCAGAAATGGTTATCATATCAGAACACACCATTGAAAATATTGTAAGAATATAAACATAAAAAAAAAACTAACGCGGTGATTCAGAAGATTTTTCGGCAATTTTTCGTTAACCACCCATCACCTTTTAACGATTTTTATATCTTACCATTTAATACATCTCTTCGAGAAACGAAAGAATATTCTTGAATTTAGCGGGGCACTCCAAAAATAAACGCGATATTCGCGATATTCTCGATTTTTTTTAAAGTATCAATTCGATGTTATGGTGACACGCAACATTATTACACTGGCAGACATCATCCCTCTGGCTAAGGAACGCGGCGTCATTGGGACGCGGCCGGTTAGGTCAGGTCAGGTTAGGTTAGGGCGGATGAACCCCATTTCGTCGCCAAGCCACCTCTTCACCGTTTGTCACCAATATCAATTCCATTTCGTCATCACTAACAGTCACTGGTGTTAAGTGACAAATTGTAAGATATTATTTTACACGACTAGAAATTACACATGTTTACAGACGACTCAAGAAGTATTGTATTATTATTATATACAAGAATATTGCTTAATAAAGAAAACGATTCTGCATTGGTAAATGAACCAAATACAGAACAAATGAAGAATTATTGTATTATTACTATACATGAATATTAATATTTTAATAAAGAAAACGACTCAAAATTGGTAAATAACAAAATACAGAACAAATGAAGGTGATTTGGCACCAGCGCATAAACCACCGAGCAGTCAGATGATTGCAGCGTATTAACGATGTTTTTATTATTTATTTTCGTTTTTAATCAATTGTCTTGGTGCTTTTTATTATTTTATATCCCAAGCAACAGTTTTTTCGTGTATATAATGATGGGAATGAACGGGGTGACGAAAGGGGGTAAAGTAGTGGTTAGGAAACGAGTTAAAAATAGTGGTGACAAAGCGGGTTGTTGACGATATGGGCAGAACTCCTCTGCCTCCAACCCCTGTCCACATTGGTAAGAAAGGTCATAGCTCATTAATTAAACCTTTCCCCAAACTGTCCTTATCGTCAATATATTCAGCAAGAAAAATGCTCTAGGAAAACGTTTAAATAGATAATTATTTATGGGTTTGTGTGGAATAAATACTTGCATTTCCTTCAGTGATTTATGAATGAATTTAAATGTCTAATTAGATGAGTGAATATAAATGGTGGAAGAGAAGTACTACTGAGAGTAAAATTTAAAAATGGCGGAGTTGTGTTGTTTGGGGGAGATTTAATACCATATAGTTCCTCACGTTTAAAAGAACGCATTTTATTGTGTTAAGATTTGTTTGAGTAAATTTGTGTTGCTGTAGTGTTAATACATAAAATTAAAGACATTTTTAATAGACGGGATTGAATTACTGAATAATAATAGAACAAATGACATTGATTTTATGCCTTTGAGATTGAATGAAGACCAACACTCTAACATCACATGTAACTTAATTATGAAAATAAAAATACCAACAATTTACTCACCGCAGAGGACAGTAACGACATAAGCTTGTTTAAATAAATTAATACTGTATAAAAATACTACAAATTCTATCACCACATAACAGTCACTACCTTACCTCACGGCGTCACTCAGGGAAATGACTTGCTGGTGGCGTCACAAAGCTGTGTCTACACCAAGGAAGGATTATATTGAGAAACTTATAATACATTCAATTAACTTTCAGCCCGACTGCTGCCTCATCTCTCGAGAAGCTTTATCATAGAAAACGTACATGGTGCTTTAAGAGGACGGATTTACTTTTGCCATAACTATTTTAACCAAGGAGGTGTATATTAAACTTATATTAAACCTCCTTGATTTTAACTATTTAAGGTCATCATAGAAAACGTGTTGTTGTCTAGAGAACGAGCTTATGTTTCGAGTAGACTCCTGTCATAAGCCGTATACAGTTTTATTCTTAGCAGACATTGCATAAATATACATGAATGCATTTTTTCCCAACTCGTACCGATGATTTACGGATTTTGGTTTATATATAGACAGAAATAAGACCATTGTCTGCTTATATATTTATATATTTAATTATTCACGAACAATGATGTTCCTTAAATAAAAAGAAGAGGCAATACTTTTTTGTACAGTACGTGAAATAACATAAATAAGGAACTTAGGTGGAAGATAAATATGAGTTAAGAAAACATCAAAAGCAAGCGGGCAGGTAGACATAATCTTCATGATATCCACAAAAGGTAGAAAACAGTCTTAAAATGACTTAGTTTCAGCTTTCAGTCTTGAAAATATATATAATTCGGGATGGATAAGGCCGAAATACATATGTTTGAATGTTCTGATAAGAATCACACACACTATAATTTACTTTAAATTTAAGACAACATACAGCTTGTTAACACTTTCTACTACGATTGGGAGGTAAACTTTAAACTTTGTGCTAGTTGACAACTGCAATAAAGCTGGGTGGAAAAGTTCCAAGTTTCAAGAGTTCACAACCCTCACTCCGAAAAAGTTTGCCCTCACAGTTTCCTGGACTTGCTTGTGGCTTCTTCAATCTTGAACTGTGACCTCTTGTGGGGTGAGCGTCCGCCAGCTCCAAGTAAGGACACTCGACTGAGTAGTGCTCCTTGAGATGCTTATACACCTCAATTAGATCTCCCCTTGCCTGTCTGTAGTATAAACTTGGTAAGTTCAGGCACTCTAATCTCTCAGGGTAGCTGAGGTGCCGAAGTGCAGGCACCAGTCTGGTGACCCTCCTTTAGTCACACAATTCATACTTTAGTCACATCACCCACACGAACATAAATTTTAATAACAAAGGTTCACATAATGGAAATTTAGTCATTTTGGTTAGGTTGTGTTAGGGTCCACTCCTATTTCACACGTGATGTGTTTATATTTTATTATAATGTATCTAATTTTAGACAAAGAAAAACACTTATCAAGCACACGCACATTTTATTAGCGAGACAAAAAACATAATTTATGTTCACACCTTAATTCTGGTGCAACCTTGTCCATGACAGATCTTCTGAAGCACTGTGATTTTTTCCTGCTATTTGAGAAGTCTTACTGATCTCCTTGACACTTCCAGCCTCAACTTGTGAAGTAGAGTGGTCATTTAGCACACTGTGATATGTCAAGACGTAGCTTCGATTAACAATGGCAACTGAACACTTGTCTGGATTCTGCATAATCAGAGTACATGCCAAAAGGCATTAGATAGAAAGAAAGCATTCATTAAAAAAGTGATTGGTTGTTTTGGAGCTGATAAGTGCCAGCACTGGCCATCCCTAGTTTATCAGGATTAATGACAAAAAATTAATTAATTTTGTTAGTTTTTAATGCTTAAGGTCAACCCTGTGATCATTTTATAGATTAATAATTTGGTGATAACACTGATAAGTGATATTGTTGATCATAAAGTACTCGAAAGTACAGTAACTCAATTATACTTGATCATACTTTTAGAATAAACTGATATGTCAGGTCTTGTCTTGTTTTCTTGCACCCCTCTGAATAAATCATGTAATCTCCAATGATTGTACCTGATACTACAGCCTGTACTGTACTCAGTGTCCTGACAGACTCGTAAACTTCCTGAAATATAAGTACTGTAATCATCACACAGTGCTCAGGTCAAGAAAACTAATAATATTTACGTATTATTTATTAATAAAATGGAGCAAGCGCAATACACTTTTGACACCACAGTCCTCTTTTGTGGCAGATCCAGACGGGTCTATCCTGACTAGCTCCTGCTGCTGGGTCGAAAGTCACACAATTTACATTTTCTTTTATCTTCAACCAAACTTCAGGAGCTACAGAGTAAAAATAGAAGTTATATAACCAGGACTAAAACACCTGTAAGGAGATAACTACCCTAGAGAGAGAGACACATGATTGGATCCTAAGAAAAGGTGCTGCCATTTGGCACAAGGTATAACGGGCTGGGGGGACCTTTTAAAACAAAAACAGTTTGTTTGCATCATTCTCCCAGATGAAACAGCTGATACGCCACACACATATAAAAAAACATAAGTTTTGACTTAGATGTAGTGTTTACACAGGGAGAATTGACACGGATGCACCAATTTAGCACAGATATGAATGTTGTTTTCTAATTCAATGTCACTATACAAAATGTCCAACCCAAGAATAAAGGCACAATGCTGGACTGCCGCAAGTGGAAGTTGGTCCACGATTACTGATCTCTTTTGCTGCTTCAAGAGAACCTACTTTACTTTCTCAGCAATTCACCAATAAACAACCAAGGATCAAATTAAAAAATAATCTGAATATTTTGATTAGCATTCCTGTAAAGTTTTTAAGTTCTTTAAAATTAATGAGTAGCAAATAGATTTACTTGAAACCAGACTGAATGTTGAGACAAGTCAGCAATAACCGTAGATCTGCACCGTACTAACTAGCTGGTTAGAGAGTTAGGTATAGTATACAGTAGTTCGCTTGGACCAGCCAGACACATGCTCTTGGTTACACATATATATACAATGGATATATTTACACTTTATAGTTACTAGGATAAAAATTCAAACTCATAAAATATTCAGTGAAAGTCTCATGATTCGAGTCAAGAAAATCTCTGAAGAATTTTCGGCATTATAAACTCTTGCCTTAAGGAGTTATTGCAAGGGTTCAATAATATAACACGATAATGTGTCTTCAGCCCACATGTGTACTCAAGACGTTAACAGTGTGTCTACGGTGCTCATATAGACAACAAGTGTCTTGTTAACTAATGATCTATATAATGTAAAAAAAAAATTCACTGTGTTGGGCTGTATACATTCCCTCAATCCAAGTGAATTTTGGCAAGAGAGTAATTACTTTTTAACCTTTACACACACTACTAAGGTCTCCTGTACATCCTGTTCACACTCAAGTTCTGCTGTAAACACTTAAGTTCCCTGTACATCACTTAAGTTCTGCTGTACACACTCAAGTTGTCCTGTATTCACTCAACTTGTCCTCTACACACTCAAGTTCTGTTGTACACACACCAGTAAGATCTCCCATACAAACATTGGCTCAAGAAAAGTGTCATGTCATGTTTGAATCCCTGAAAGAACCCGATAAATGCGTTCTTCAGAATATGAATGTTATCCTAAGATTAGACTATTAGTAATTACAATGTACTAACATAACAAATTCGGGACTTTACACCAAACAATAAAAGGTAAAGTAACAATTATTTATAAGTACAATATATGGATAATTTTTTATTTGCAAATATATTGAATCAGCAAAATAGGTCACAAAGAGTAGATGGAGCGCTGGCCTCAACACTCTCAGTTAGTCTATAAAAGATAGCAAACAGATGAAAACAAAAAAAATACTGTATACATATATCAACTGCTGCATCCAAAATAAATAAATATTATGAAGCTGCCTTGAGCAAATGCTAGATTATTCCTCAAGCCATTTGTGACCTTTTTTGCCTGACAGAAAATAGTATGCACCACACTCGTAGGGGACACCACCTCCCCCTTCTCACTCTCCCCTACATCTGCCAATTACAAAAGCACCTCTGAAAATTAGAGGAAAAAAGCAGCATAAAATAATGGCAGAGTACCATTGTAGATTTTGGCCTTACAATCTTGTTCTTTACAAGTGAAAGGCCAAGAAGATGCAGAACAAAAGATGGAGGTAAAAAAATAGAAATACATTCATATTTCTCTTCTCTCTTACGTTTATTCCGTAATGTTATCATCTATGCCAAATTTTCACAACCTATATAAAAAAAATAATAAAATAAAAAGAGAAGAAGAGTTTTCCCCACTAGTCTCGGGCAGTCAACACACATTTCCCACTACTCAAACACTGCCTTGATCAGCTCCCTCTGAAACATGACCATCAACTGGCACCTCTAACGCACTACCTTCAAGACCATAGTAGGTCAAAATAAATCATCTCATTCTGTGTAAAAAATCCCCATGTACAGCCACTACCAAAGACCAGCAGGTTAAAAAAATAATACTCTTCCTAAGCAGACTCGGACATCCTTCATCCTCGTCAGGTATTAATAGACGTGGACGGTGGATGGCTTCAGTGACTTGGTCGTTCAGGAGAAGAAGTTCCTTGAGACGGCTCTGCTTGAAGCTGTCTTGGAGTGTAGCTCGCTCATGTCACTCAGGGAGTCGGTATCCTGTCGGGGAATGAGTATCTCATTAATTTACCATAGGAGGAGTGGAGGAGTTGGCGGTCTTCTACAGGTGTACATGAAACTTTATTGTAGCAGTTTTGGGAGGAGGAATGGTTAGTCTTGTCAGTGAAATTCAATAGAAAGTACAAAAAATAAGTAAAAAATAAATAAATAAATAAATACAAAATCCTTACAGTATTCATGTCATAAAAATAATTTATTAGCCAGTTAATAATAGCAACTCCTAATTACAAAAAAAAACTAATTACTTATTCATTCAACAGAGAACATTCTATATCTTGCACTAAAGTATAAAACTAATCCATGCAAATAGTGATAAATGGTTCAGTGGAGGTACAGTAGTATATAGGGAAGTGCCTTATGAGTTAACTTACACGGACTGGTCGGTACAGTTCAGTCTGGGGGTACACCACAGTGGAGCCTCCGTCCCTCTCAGCCATGGTTTGGTGCTCCTGGGTGTGTGGAGGAGGAAGTAAGGAGTGAGGACAGCTTATAGAGTGGTGCTAGGGAAGGCTGATGACATGCTACTAATTGGCCTCTATGCCTTGTGCATACTGTAACTGGTCCTACATCTAGCCCCCTCTGAGGTGCTAGTAGTAATAGGCCTCTAAATTTTGCCCTTAAAATTCTACTACTACCTGTACTACTACTACATCTGACTACGTCCTCTCATTAAGGCATAAAGTATAGTCTTAATACAGGATTTAGTGTTTGGTTGGCTTATGTTTGCTTAGTTCCTTGTGTTATGCTGATGCCTAGACAGTACTCCTGAGCTCTGAGTTTCTGCTGCCTCTGTATTTAGGTCCTCCAGTAGTTGATTCTGTACAGTAGTGCCAACAGAGAATAGCGCTTTTAATTATCTCAGACTTGAAACAACTGGCACAAACCTTTAATAAGTGATCTATATATTGCTTGATTTGCTTTTTAATCTGATGTGTTGAAACTTTTTAAATATAATTACAGTAGTGATATTTGATAAATTTATCCAGACATACATGTATTGTTACTTATAAAACTTTTAATATTTTTTATTTTATTTACACTAACAAAAGCTTCACCAAACCTTCATGTGCAAGTGTATGATAGAGTCATTATTGTACCAGGTAAGGCTTATACTGTACAAAACAAGTTCTATATTCCTAAAGTGAATAATCTCTTGTGTGATAATATTGTACTTATAGAAAAGATAGAAACATGTCTGCCTATAATTTCCAACATATGTACTTGTAATAGTCCATCTGTAATTTCAAATCTAAATTAATTCCAATTCCAGTTTTATCATAACTTAAGATGATTAAGATGGTACGGTACTTGTATAATGTTGTTTACTAACTGATCAAGGGCAAATAAACTAATAACTCTTAGTAATTTATTAAAACTACCCATTAGGCACCTTTAAGACAAGCCAAGCCTTCAGTCAACCACTTAAGGAAAAATATAAGTAAACTAAATTCATGGATGAGATTCAACACCACAAAACATAACATACAACTATTACACTAAATTTCCTTGAGTCTATGAATTCTTTTTGGCAGATGAGACAGGAACTACACAACTGTCTAGAAGGGGAGGGGGTGAGGGGAACTACAGTACATCTATCATTATGTTAAACCTCTTATTCTAAATAGTAAAGTAAAATGAGGAATATAGAATTGACTCTCACTCAATGTAGAGCAGTCCAGCACCATGCTCACTAACCCATGCATAATGAAGGAAAGATCAGGGGGTGTGTGACATGAACTAAATCCTTATGTTAATTCTGTACATCCCTCTTTAAGTCTCTCTCTCTCTCACATTCTCTTTCTCACCACAGGTATATGTCATGCACTCTCTTTTTCTCTCTTTCTCTTTATATGTCATGAACTCAGTCTCTCTCTTTTTCTCTCTACAGTACATACGTCAGAGATATGTTGTGAGGAGAGCGCCTTTGAAGAGTAGAAGCTGTCTGCACGTAAGCTTCTAATTGGTGGCCGCACTGTTGTCTCATCATAGGATCGCGCCTCACTCATTGTCCTGTAAGAGGTAAGTTCTTGGTAACACTGTGAATCTGCTCTCAGAGAGTATGCAATAATTATGTGTGCTGTATACATGTTCCCTGTGTTAGTTTATTTAGTTTTAATAACATCTTAACATCTTTGAAAGTACAGTACAGTATAAGAAAACATTTTAAATTCCAAAAATTAAATAATATGTACTGTATATACTGTACACCAGGGGTGTCAAACTCATGGCCCGCGTGCCAAATGTGGCCCTTGGGATGGTCAGGTGTGGCCCACGGGATGACGGTAAAATTTATCACCCCGTGAAATTATGAAAAAAATAGATATAATCATGTTTATTGAGTAAAATTAATTTTACATACTTAAGATCAGACAAACCCAAATGAGGTATTCCTGGTAAGCCAGGTAAGGCAATGTGTGAAGCTGTAAACTTCAATCCTGCAAATATGTGATAACTAAAATAAGAATTGGCCCTCGAAATACTTTGAGTTTGACACCACTGTTGTACACTGTACAGATTTTTTAAATTCTGAAATTTTCTTTTAAAGCAGGAACTTCTATTCCCTACATTAGGAAGTATGTTGAGTTATTTCATTATTGAGGGAATATTAAAAAAATGTTCTTCGTTTAACAATTACCGTTAATAAAAAATAAATCCATATTGGGCTACAGTATATTTTTTTTGTCTTCAATGGGCAAGAATCAGTCTGGCCTCTCAGCAGATTTAGTTATGTTGGCTTTATACCTAAATGTTAAATGAACAGCTGAAGTCACATTATCTAAGGATACATGTGAGGACCTACACTACTGACTCACCGCTCTCCTCCCCCCCTGAAGGAGAAGTTGACACCAAATTCAGAGTTGAGGTCATGGTGGCTGTGGTGGTGGAGCCGGTCTGTGGAGCGAGACCTGGTGGATCCTTGCTCGGGCTGTGGGTGAAGCTGGTGGAGGAAGGCATCAGCCAGCCGCTCTCGAGAGTGTGATCTCGAGCGGTTGATTCTGGCGCTGCTGTGGACAGATGCAGCCGTCATGCTTTCCCTTCGACTAGACCGACCTATGATGGGGGCAGGCTGGTCCAGCAGGTCGACAAATGCCTGCTGGGAACTGGCGAGGTCTGAACGAGCATCAGCACCGATCATGACCCTGGGCTCACCGTTTTCACCGCGGCTAACCACAGAGGGACGGGCTGGAGCTGGGCCCTTCACGCGAGGTATCAGCTGTTGAGGAGGTCCCAGATTAAAGTTAGAATTCTTTCTCTTTTAAGATAAGTTGGTGAAACAGAACCATTTCAGAGTATATATTTGCACATTGATAAAATTATAATACTGCATAAATTACTTACTATTTGTTAAATAAATTATTTCAGCACAGATTGTAATACTGATGGGAGTACAGTACGTATAATGCTGTGTAAGTATTCTATTTATTATTTATAATATTCATAAATGTACTGTATAGTAATGAGGACAACATTTAGAACAGTGAAGATGTTAAAACAGTATATCTATGTAGGAGAGATGAACTAGGTGGTGTGAGATTAATGAAAAAGACAACCTGTGTGGTGCCTCTCCCCTGACTGTCGCCAACTCCTATACTCACCACAGGGGGCAGGGTGGTGTGTACCCCGACGGAGCGGTCCTCGGCGAAGGAGGCATGAGAGTGTCTGCCAGTACTCATCTCTGACCTAGGTGCTCTGGGCGGTCGCTCCTGTTTCTCGTAGTTTATCGGAGGCTGTAAACATTTCAAGTCCTTTAACCAAACACTGATAATGTACCAAAATGTTTTATATTTTAAATCCTGGAGTATTTATGACCAATTGTGAATACAGTACTGTATATCTGACTTACCTAACAGTCTCCACTAAACTGATGTAGCTATTTTTTCTTCACTCATACGGTATCTAAGAATTGTGGTTTCAAATGAGAAATAATGACATTTGATCAATTTTACTTTTTTGCATTAATTTTCATTTTTGCTACATTTAAAGCATTTATAGGAAGCAAGTTCTTAAAACCTTCCTTCTTAGGGAATTAACTGATTTTTATTAATTATTCTCACCTGAGAGACACACCTGGTATACTGTACTGTACCAGAATACAATATTGTGGGATTAAAAGTATGAGTCAGCAGTATCTTCTATATCTCTATCCTGTCACAATATTTAAGTTACTGACAGAACCAAGACCCATGTTACTCCCCCACCTCACCCACGTTCATTATGCTGTAGTCTAGTTTATCTCATCCAGTTCGATACATTCTCAAATCCTCAATTAGTGATTAAGAAATCCATGTAACATCTTTTGAGAAACAGAATCCTGGTTTCAATATCAATATGATTCCTACATCTCAAACTAGGAAGATAATTTAACTAATAATGCTTTTAGAATCATTATCCTGAATGTATTCACTTTAACTGAAGATCAATAAAAGTAGATAAGGTCAATACTGTACCATGAAGGAGGTGGGATGGTGGCGAGTGTGTTCACCCGAGCTCTCTGAGGACGTCTCATGGATCATGGCTCGACGATCCAGGGTGCTTGACATTCCTGTGCTTCGCGCTCTTAGGAATGTGGGGGCACTACCCATCTGTAGGAGGGCGGCAGTGTTAAGTGATTGAGTTTGGCATTAAAGAGCGATACAAATATAGTCTGGCATTAGAATTAAATTTCAATGTAAAATCAGAATGATCTCTATAAAAAATATTTAAATTCATATTGGAAGTTAGATTCATTATAAACTTCATATTTATTCCTTCACATATCAAATTTCCCCTTTTAAGAGTCAGAATTATTTGTATCTATTATCAGTATTGTACAGCTTCCGCTTGTCAGGTCTTCCTCACCTGTCCGATCTGATTCCTGGAGTTGCGTCGTGATCGGAGGCAACAGAGAGACAGACACAGCAGCAGCAGCAGGATCAAGAGTGAGCCCACAGTCACGAGGACAATCAGCAGGACTGTCAACACACATGTACAGTACATTAGTAGTGACCACACACCTGCCTCCCATTACATTACAATAAAAACATCAGAAATTCATTAATCTATGTACAGTATTTATTGAACAGAATGAATAATCCCAACTATAATATATACCACATGTTTAGCAGTGAAACTAGTACAGTTTTATGCCAATAAATTTATTAAAAAATATATATTTCTTAACTATCAAGGTTTTTAAATATTTACTTTGGTAGGAAGGAACATCATGATATGCCAAGGGTCAGATGTTTGTAAACTTATTATATCACTCAGACAAAGTTATTATTGTACCGGTAAGCTTATAATAATCCCTCAGACAAAGTTATTATTGTACCGGTAAGCTTATAATAATCCCTCAGACAAAGTTATTAAGCTTATTATAATCAGAAAAAGTATTTAAGCTTATTATATTCACTCAGATAGTTATCCACAAACATATTAACATGAGCTGTTTTAGGCATGTTCTGTTGTCTTACCTCTGAGGTTGACCTGGCAGCGATCACCACTAAACCACTGAAGACACCTGCAGCCCACAGACCCATCACGCTCCGTCACACACTCTCCTTGGAAGTTACATTGTGCACACTGCTCCGTCTGGACTGTTGGGCACAAGGGAGGTAAGACATCTGCTTAGTTATGTTTTACGGAGACTCGCATGATGTACTGTATAGTGAAATCTCCATATATCGGACTTCTCTCTCGCCATATGGACTCTAGATATAACGAATTGACTTTTATCTCTATATAATTCTTCAGATGGAGGTTTCACTTCTATCGGACTCTCGGAATAATGGACTTTTATCTCTCTATAAAGTAATTCGTTAGATGGAGGTTTCACATCTAACGGATTCTCAAAATAATTGACTCTTATCTCTATATACTGTACTGTAATTCGACATCTAACGGACTCTCAATACAGGTATAACAGAATTTTCTTTTCCATTAAGTGTTAACAGATAAACAAAATAATGCTCTTAACATGACAGGCAGCTTAAATATGTAAACATAAATTAGCTGGGTGTTGAACGTAAAGCAACATTTATATCATAAGGGTGTGTAAAAACAGTCAGCTAATCAATATAGCTGTATCTTGTTTTGGTGATCTGAACAACCAATTACAATTAGTGAAATAATTACTTCTTGAGTCATGACACGAAACTGACAAATTCATGACCTTTTTTTATTATTCAATATGTAATGGATTCTTTTTTTCTTCAGATAAAACTATTGAAAGGTAATATTGAGACTCCTTACCAGCACACTGACGGCCAGGCATCTCATCCATGTCCTTAAAGCCATCCCTACAGGCACAGAGGTATGACCCGGGGATGTTGAAGCAGTTGGCATTACTAGAGCAGTCGTTGTGATCAATGTGGGTGCATTCGTCAAAGTCCTCAGCAGCCAGTACCGAGATCTCCCTGTTGGCGAAGAGCTCTGTGCCGCCCAGGGAGTGGTTGGTGTCCTTGAGGGCCAACTCCAGTGCTTCTTTCACCACTGACTCGTTCATGTCGTCCCAAAAATCTTCACTTTCACCTTCTTCAGTTCTGGATAATTCAATCTTGATATCTGCCACTAAACCGTGATCCTGGAAAATGACAATAACAAAAATTAATACTAAATTCATAACCATTATCTATTTGAGTTAATGTTACAACTCTCCCTCTCCAGTACTTGAACCTTTGTCTTAGGAATGCCACTATGAGACAATGGCACTATACCCTGTACCACAACAACTTAAAGCAGTATTCCCAGACATAGATTTGAATCCTCTATGGTGTGGGCTGTAACAAGACATTAACTAATATCCTATGTTATTATTAATATCATGTTTATAATTCCTTCATTTTTGCTCACTTCTTCAAGTTCTATTAACTTTTAAATAAAACAACAGATCACAGGACATCTATAAATTAATGGCCACAGTGAACAAGTGGACTGTCCTGGGAATATCACACAACTATCACATATCAGAGCCAAGTAACAAGGTTATTAACTCATGTAATATAAACAACACCTTTCTTGATATCTAATCATCTATTGTCCAGACAAAGTGAAGGTTGTTTAATCTCTGGAGGATAATGCCAACCTGCTGTGTATAGTGAAGGGGCCCAGTGAGAAAGATATCTAAACTCCTTGAGCACAATAACTTGGTCCCTCAAGTACAGATATAGTGTTATTGTATGCAAGGAAATACGAATTAGGTCGTTGTATTCAATGAGTTAAGCCATCATATATAAAGGGTTAAATTCCTTGGTGACTGAAGCACCTTAATTGAGTACATCAAGACAAAAATATCTGGTGAAAAACATTCTTAAGTCTTATTTAATGCTTAATCACTTTTATCTGCATGTTGCATCAGGAAGCGAGTAGGTAAGTCAACGTCACTACTTCTACCATTGGCTGAGTCTACTACACCTACCATTGGTTCTACAGAGATGGGCATGATCATTTCCTTGATATCAGAAAACTTGGTGACGGTGGCAGTGTGGTACCGAGATCCCAGTTTGGACCCCATCATGGCCTGGTCGACGCCATGGATGGTGATGTCTGAGAGGTCCTGGGTAACGGGGTGGGACGTGTTGTGCAACACAGGGTCGAAGATCAACTGCCCGTCGCTCATACGATCGAGCAGGACTTGGATGTTGAAGGCGAGAGAAGCTGGGAAGGGAGTGGAAATGTTTTTACAATGTTCAGGAAAGTTAAGATAGGTATGGGAATTTCTATGATGCTGTGGAAAGCTCGAAGAGAAATGACTTCATGATGTAGATTTTAAGATATATCAGTTATTTTAAGAAAAGACAATGAAACTCGAAATATCACTTACGTTTACATGTATCGTAGCTGTTCCTGCGGGAGTAGCCAGAGCGGCAGACACAGGTGTGGGCGCCCCGCACCACCCTGCACACTTCGTAGCGAGCAGCTGAACACTGTGGCTCACATAGTGACACAGGAGCACTCAGCGGTCCTCCGATATTGATTTCTTGGTCTGGACTTTTGCTTTCAACCACACGACTTATCTCATTGTCCTCAGCGATGCCCAGAGTGGCGCCGCCCAGCATCACGTTGGGGTTCCCGGGCAGGCGCAAGTTTTGATCTATTGGAAGAGGATTAAGAGGGAATGATGGGTAGTTGGCTGGGTCGAAGGGAGATCCTGGTGGGTAGGTGGTGGGGTCACTGTAATCAGGGAAGCCATCAGTAGCAGTGTTGTGTCCGACAGTGGCAGTGATGTAGTTAACATGAGTTGCTGTACCAACAATGGTAGTGACGATGGTGCGTAGGGGAAGAGTACTACGGATCACTTGTGTCAAGGTGGAGGTGACACCAGCCGTGAAGATAACGTCCGTCCTTGTAGCAGTGATGGTGCGGGCTGAGGTCTCCACGCGGGTGATCAAACGGGTCGGGGTGCCTCCAGGTCCACTCACTACAGAAGTCAGATCACCTTTTGGTTCTTCGCTGGCAGCTGGACGAGTAAAGAGTGAGCCAAAGATGGTAGTGGCACCAGACATGACAGTGGAGGAGCCTCTGACCACAGTAGTGCGGCCACTATGAAGACCTTGACCTAACAGGATGGTCTCTGCTCCTGAGATTACAGTGCCTTCCAATTCTGATGGTGGCTGTGGTCGATCCTCATTGCCAGAGCCTCCAGAAATAATACCAACACCAACTGTGGAGTGAAGGACAAACTCGCCACGTGGAGGAGACACAATGATGGAGGGTTGTGGATGGTACTGGTTAGCAAGGTGAGCGGGAATCACCTGTGTCTTCACGATACGATTATCACCTTCTATGCTGACGATAGTTTGAGGTGCTAACAGTGATGGCTGAGGGCGGTATGGTGGTGGTCTGGAAGACAGTAGCTGTGGGTGGGTGTCTCCTGCTGCCAGCTGGTCTGAGAAACCATCAGGAATGACTGGTAGGGGAATAGGCCCTCCATCACCGGGTAGAGGCACACGCACGGGAACAGGTACCGGTCTCGTCTCGTCTAGTAGGATTGGGTGACTGGGCTGTATGAAAACAGATCCATGGTCAACTTTGTGTCCCTGTAGTGACGTGGGGGCGGGCTGACCTGGCGGTGGCAGGTCACTTGGACCTGCACCTCCGAAGAAGATGGTCGATGACCCTGAAATGACTGACACTCGAGTGGGACCAAGACGTTCATTCGTCATGGCAGTAAAACCAGACTGTGTACTTGGAGGCAAGAAGGTGGGACCAAAGCCTTCCATCTCATCAATGTTGACAGGCAGTGAGAAGCTTGGCACACCAGCCACTGGCCTCTCTGGAGCTATTCTAATAAAGCCAGGATTAGGTTGGCCTGAGATGCCTCGTGGTGGTGTCTGAGAACCTGCAGGAGCCCTGGGCTGGCCATGGGGAGGTCTACCATGTGGTGTTAATGGGATGTAGCCTTGTTCTGGACCTTCTGTACGATCCCGAGATATACTGAGAGAAGCTCCCACTCCACCCACTGGGATGAACAAAGGTTCTCGTTGAGCAGCGATGACAGTATTTGGAGGTCGGAGAGGGGAGCTTATTTTTCTGCGGTTACCATCAACATCGGACTTTGCACTGACAAGTTGATTGTTGAGGTTATTACGTAGGAGGCCTGCCATGGCATTAATCATTGGACCAAGGTCAAAGTTGAGGCCACTGTCGCCAGAACCTGTGATACTTACGCCTCCAGAACTGATTCCTCCAGCAGTAGTACCACCAGTTGCAGGAGCAGGAGCAGCAGCAGGAGCAGGAGCAGCAGCTGGGGATGGAGCTGGAACAAGAGCTGGAGATGGAGCTGGAGCAACAGCTGGTACAGGAGCCACAGCAGGAACAGGTAAAATAAGAGGTGGACCTGTGGATGGTGGGTCGGTTGGAGTCTCGGTCTCAGTTGGGGTCTCGGTGTCAACACCTGCAGCTGGGATAATAGCACCAATTGTTGTGGGGGCATTAGTGTCTACCTCCACTGATCCTGTGTCTGGGGTGGTGGCAGGCAGGGTGGGACTTACGACATCTGGGTCCACAGTGGGTGTTGGAGTCACGAATGTTGGACTGATGGGGAGCCCAGACAAGGATGCATCAGGAGTGAGAGATGCCAGATAAGAAGATTTGATAGAAGAGAGGTAAGATGAATCGAAGATGACAATTGTCTGCCCAGTTAGTACTGAGGTAGAGAGGTCTTCAGAGGGTCGCACGAGCAGCGTGGCTGAGGTAGTGGAGTCGCTCACCACAAAGGTGCCTGATGGGTCACCCTCCTGAACCAGAACTGTGGCCTGAAGCCCTTCCTCCCCCCCTGGATCAGTCAGGGTCGTCGTTGGTTTAGATGCCAGGATGGAACTCTTCAGAGAAGACAAATATGACGGGTCGAGCTGAACAGTCGTGCCCAGGCCCGAGGAAGGACGCTCAGTGGTGGCTCCAATGGTTGGCTGCTCAAACTGGCTTGTGGGAGTGATGAGGAGGGAGGCTGGGATGCCACTTGTAGTCACAGTAGAAGTGAGGACCTTGGTCTTTGTGTCCAGCCTTGACCTGACAACACCATTGTGCAGTGTGGTGTAGTGAGTGTAGGTGGCGAAGAAAGTGCGCAGCTGCTTATAAACATTGTCACGGATTTTTATGTAAGCAACAGTCTGTGGCTGTGATGCGCTTACAGCTGTGGGCGTCACGTGCTGTGACAAGTAAGAATTCCTGAAAGAAATCAACTCTTCAGAACTTAGAGCTGAAGTCACAGACTCTGTAACAACATTAGAGGAAATCTCAATCCTGGAGGCAGTAACAGTCTCGCTGTCCTGCAGGATGGTGGTGAGGTAGGTGAGGGTGGTGTAGACCGTCTTGGTGGCATACAGCACCAGGTCATCCTCGTCATTGTTGAAAGATGCAAATGGCTCAACTGCAGGAGTGGGCGTGAGGTCAAAGACTCCTCCACCAAGGCTCGTGGTGCTGGTGGCATAGGCTGTCTCAGTCACCACCTCTGACGAGACGACGGTGTTGCTACTGACAACAGTTTTACCAGCATGTAAGGCAGTGTTGTAGTAGGTGAGGGTGGTGAAGTAGGTCTTGGTCACCAGGGAGGAGTGGGTGGGCACTACGGTGGATCGTGACACCGATGGTGCCTCCGTGATAACTACCTGCGTCAGGACCTCTTGTGAGGTGACCACTCTCTCAGAATCCTCCGGGCCCACTGTCCGGGTGAATGTCTGGGTGGTGTAGTAAGTTTGGGTGTCGAACATCACCTGCAACACCAATATAAAATGAGACTCATAATGTGACACAAATTCCACGTGATCTTAATTTTGTCTAATGATCCCAAGAACAAAATACTTCCATAAATATCAACTAATCCACAGCATAACAAGAGAAGTCTCCCCATTAGAATTATACAGTACCGCTAACAGTGGCCTGGCTGATGGTCTAACGGTGACACACTTCACAAATAACCGCCCCTCACAGGCCTACAGTATATCTGTGGGAGAGAACTGACTCACCTCTGTCCGCTCAATGAAGTTACCAGCCTCGGGTAGCGTCACGGTCTCCACATTCTGAACTGTCTGCTTACTGGTGACGACGAAGGGCTTGTTACCAGCCAGCAGCGTATTGTAGTAGGTGTAGGTGGTGAAGTAGGTGTTGGTCTGGTAGATGCCGTCATCACCACCTGCCAGCTGGGTCACCTACATCGGTACAAAACAGATGGTATAACAATGAGCATCAGGTGAGGTGGTGGACAGAAATCATAAGCCATCAACTGACTGATGGTTCCTGTTGAGCCTCACAGAGTTAAACCATCATCCTCACAGTTAAACCACCATCCTCAAAGAGCTAAACCATTATCCTCACAGTTAAACCATCATCCTCACAGAGTTAAACCACCATCCTCACAGAGTTAAACCATCATCCTCAAAGAGTTAAACCATTATCCACACAGTTAAACCACCATCCTCACAGAGTTAAACCATCATCCTCAAAGAGTTAAACCATCATCCTCAAAGAGTTAAACCATCATCCTCACAGTTAAACCACCATCCTCACAGAGTTAAACCATCATCCTCAAAGAGTTAAACCATTATCCTCACAGTTAAACCACCATCCTCACAGAGTTAAACCATCATCCTCAAAGAGTTAAACCATTAGCCACACAGTTAAACCACCATCCTCACAGAGTTAAACCATCATCCTCAAAGAGTTAAACCATCATCCTCAAAGAGTTAAACCATTATCCACACAGTTAAACCACCATCCTCACAGAGTTAAACCATCATCCTCAAAGAGTTAAACCATTATCCACACAGTTAAACCACCATCCTCACAGAGTTAAACCATCATCCTCAAAGAGTTAAACATCAATCCTCACAGAGTTAAACCATCCTCACAGAGTTAAACCATCATCCTCAAAGAGTTAAACCATCATCCTCACAGTTAAACCACCATCCTCACACAGTTAAACCACCATCCTCACAGAGTTAAACCATCATCCTCACAGTTAAACCACCATCCTCACAGAGTTAAACCACCATCCTCAAAGAGTTAAACCATCATCTATCTCTATTTCTGTCTCATTTTCTCTCTTTCTCGAACTCCAAAACCTCCTGAAGTATCAAGTTAAGTCTGAGCACACAAATTCACAATAGACAATATCATCATACATCTATACCACATAACACTACGTTCTCTTCACACACGACTCTGTGATTAGAATTGACAAAACAAAACATATTAACAATGTAACTTTGAACCCTGCAATGGCTACTTATTATAGATTCCATTAATATCCCCATTTACTTCACGAGTTATTTGACAGAAAGCATAAGAGGTTTTATAACTACACACACACACACACACACACACACACACACACACACGCACAAACACATGCTGTCTATTACAGCACAATGGCGGGATATCGAATGCTCTCAACAACTATAGCATTTTGTACCAGTTAATAAGACTACCTTCTACAACAATAAGCTCTACGGGTCTATCATCTACGTAGACTACAGGATAAACCATTAAATCTACAGCTACATAGTGGGAGAAAATGGGGCAGGTTTTTTTTCTTTGTCAAAACGATAATTTACACCTTAAAAGTATTCTTCTTTACATCCTCAAACATTCTTACACTTTATATGAGTACGAGAGTAATGTATTGCATGTTTGTTTACTGAATGTTGAGTGTGTTTACAGACTAGCTAACGAAGGAGGGTAGTCCGTTATAAAACACCTTTTAACGGACTATATGCAAGATGTTAGTCTCTTATATCAAGAATCCGTTATATGGAGGTTTCACTGTATTGAAAGTTTGTTTTAATAATTCATCGTGTTTTAGAGTTCTCTTTGTATTATTATGTGTTGTAAGGGGGGAGATATCTGAAGTGGATGCTGTTGTGAAAAATGCTGCAGCAAGTTGTAAACAGCTGCGTCCAAGAGGCTGGGATGTTGATAGTGAGACACCAACTTCGTGGATGACACAAATGGAGCGTTGGTGTCGTACATCTAAACTTGAAATAGGAACAGTAAACCCTTTATGGAGGCGTAACTTCCATGGGGCTGGTGAGCATTTTAGTTAAGACACATCAGAGGCCCTCGCATGAGAACCTGTGAGCACTTTATAGGTGATGGGGAGGATTTTGGTTCCGGAGGCAACATGCAGCAGTGCAGTGAGGGGTGGGAGGGGAGATGTGTGCTTTAATACAACATAACTTGGTGCCTGAGACTCCATACATGCTGGGTGATGGACAACATACAGGGGCGACACAACAACAATACGGGTGATCAGAGGCTACGTCAACCATGGAGGAGTTGTCTGAGCTACAGGAGGTCGGGTGAGTCATGGGTGAGCCAATCACTACAGTCGTGGGCTACTACTGTTGCGGGTTACCTGCGAGGCGGGTCACTGGGGGTGTTACCTGGGCCGTCACACTGGGAGGGATGTTGGATGTCAGGTAGTTGTTGTCATGCGTCACAGTGCTGGTTATAACCTGCAGGCGGGTCATGTCCCCAGACCCGGGCATTGCGCTAATGTAAGTCACAGTTGTCATATAGGTAAAGGTCGAGAGAGTCTCTGTTTCGAGAACTGCCTTGGCAGGTTCCAGTCCCAGATAGACGGGGGCAGGTAAGAAGTCCTGATGCACCATGGGTGGCTTGACTCGGCCATTGTCGGTGATCAGGTCAGCGATGGCCAGCACCGACCCGAGGAGATTCATGGGGTCATTCATATCTGTCCCGAAATGAATCATATCCGGCACGATCTCCAAGATTACTGTTTTGTTCTCCTTATTGAGGAGATGTAGAGGACCCGAGCCACGGGCCAGGGGCGGGGTGGAAGGGTGTGAGAAGGGCAGCCACTGGGGCCTGTGTGCGGTTGGACCACCTAGTGCCTGTTAGTATGGGGTTAGTTGAAGATGAATCATGCCATTAACAGTGAAGGTGCCAGAATGTTAGTCTGATGATTAACAGAATTGAAAACATGAGAGATGAAGACATTGTGAAGAAGCTTAGTCAGGGAAAGTACAAAGATGACAATAATAATGAGAAGACGAAGCACAATGAGAAAAGGAAACAACGGATAAATTAGAGTAGAAACGATGACAACACACAGATAAAAGACTGAACACAATAGTTATACATAAATTGAACCAAAAGTAATGTAAGTTACTGATAATGTTGTATGAGCCCGAGCGAGAAAGAGAGAGGACACTTAAGTACTTGTAAACACCAGTCACAATGTTAACAAGAGATAACAATGAATGAGCAGATAAAAGGCCTAAGGCAGAGATAATGATGATGAAATTGTTAGTTACATTAGTATATAGGTTATTTATTAATGCACAGACGTAATCCGTTATATATACAACTATCTAAAGCACTCAAATTATTTTCCATTGTAATTCAGAACTTGACACTGAGGGCAAGTCTGGTGCACTATAATCAGATATTTGTTCAACAAGTTTTATCTTTATGTTATCAGTGACTTAATAGTTTAAATTAGTCATAAATGCTGTTGTTATCCATGCATTACTTATCTTTTGAATGAACATAATATTTCAGTCATATACATTCATCATCATGCATCATACATTGTGCAATATGTTCAGGTGTGGTGTTCATACATGCATTATACTCGAGACGGTGTCACTGTGTGTTGGACTTGCTGAACACTTTGTGGATGACAGTTGAAAGAGACCCCTGCCCTTTAAAGGGCTAAGGAGGACAAGACATTCTCTTTTTACTGACTTATTTTTACTTATTGACTTATCCTGTATTTGTCACCTTCAACTGATGTACTGCGCTGCTACAAGTTGTACTCTACTCTTAAAGCATGTTAGTATATTATATTAAGTAACATAAACAAACTTTACTACGGCAATGCTCTATAATCTATTTTCTACAAGTTTGTGCTAAAAATTATGATGTTTTCTATGATACAGTTTGGGGAACCGTTTTCTGTGACGTACCTTGGGGTGATCAGTCTCCTGGGAGGCGAAGAGCAGCATGTGGTCAGACAACGTTGAAGGCGGGAGGGTGATCGGACGTAGGAACTTATCGAAGTTATTCGTAATTATCTGGTCTTGAGGAAGCGGTGAAGCCGTCTTATCTCCTGAAAAAAGCGGACATATGAGAGCCACAGGTAAGGTCAAAGTATACATACACTATCATAGATCAGTACTCCTTTTATCATCACTAAACTAACTATCCTGGCAAGCAACTGAAGCTATATAAATAAATAAAACTAGTTATGACTGTACATTCCATTGGCCATTATTATATTTACAGAGTTATTGACTACCTAACTATCCTACTGTTATATGCCAGACTACACGAGGTATCTCACGTGTCACGGTCTCAGTGCGTGGCTACAACTATCACGTGGACACATTTACAGCACAGTTAACTAATTACCTGCATTATAAACACAAACAATGGCTAGTTCTAGGTCACTTCTGGTGAAACTGAGTCAACAGTCTTGAAGAATTAGTTGTGATCTTAAGTTGGAATTAGTAATTACATGTCAGAGATGCAAAGGGTGTGCTGGTGGTGGAAAAGCTAGGGTGCTGGTGGAGTAGCTAGGGTGCTGGTGGTGGAGTAGCTAGGGTGCTTGCTAGTGGTGAGGGTGAGGAGGAAGGGTGCTGGTTGAGTAGCTAGGGTGCTGGTAGAATAGCTAGGGTGCTGGTGGAGTAGCTTGGGTGCTGGTGGAGTAGCTAGGGTGCTGGTGGAGTAGCTAGGGTGCTGGTGGAGTAGCTATGGTGCTGGTGGAGTAGCTAGGGTGCTGGTGGAGTAGCTAGGGTGCTGGTGGTGGAGTAGCTAGGGTGCTGGTGGTGGAGTAGCTAGGGTGCTTGCTAGTGGTGAGGGTGAGGAGGAAGGGTGCTGGTTGAGTAACTACGGTGCAGGACAGAAGGGGAGAGAAAAGGAAGAAGTACTTGGTAATCACCGGACACTATGAGAACAGCGGTGTTACAAGTCACCCCTTAATAACTACACTTCTACTGTCACTATTACTCCTACGGGTGGGGACGAGGGACTTCCAGGCGGTCGGTGGTGAGACGGCTGACAACAGATAACTTAAACCATCAACATTATCGAAAACTGAACGACACTTAACATATAAACTATTCGTTGTCATAAGAATTACCGTAGTCTGGTAGTGAGGATTATGGCCAAGAGGAGGTGACGAGATCAGGGGAAATATTATATATAAACTAAGAGTCAGGGATGAAGACCGTCCTCTAACTCCGTAAAGAATCATGTAGTACAAGCATATGTATATAAATATTTACGAGGGGTAACAATGACATTTTTAGCAGGTTCTTATTTGACTTTTTAGGGGTAAATTTGTTAAATGATTTACTGTGGTGTCTTTCCAATCAGTCTATGGAAGTCCCACCTTCCCACTGTTACAAGGTGACCTCGCGCCTGACCCAAGGTGACCTCGTGCCTGACCTAGGGTTAGCCTGGCACATGCACTTACCGGCAACAATGACCTCAACGCCATTACTCATGACCTTGGTGGCCAGGTTGTGACGGGCGCCGATGCTGAACCGAGCCCCAAGGCGCTGACCATCAGCCTCGCCAAGACTCGACTCCAGCGACCCCTTGACCTGATTTGACCCGGGTCGTCCAAGAACCGCCCGACCCGACCCCTGTTCTGACCCTGCATGACCAAGAAGGACTTGCTTTGCATTCCGCCAAAACCACCGTCAAGCCAGCAACACCCGGGTTATTGATGGTGAGCCTCAGCTTCTGACCAGCTCTGCCACCATACGTGTTATAAAGTATTAAATGAAATAACAACTTTCTGGTTACTTAGATACACGACACACGTCTATGGTGTCACTTTAAGCTGGTATTACTTTTTACTACTAACACGAGGAGGCTGGTCAGACTCTAAGGTCACGGGTGTGAGTGATGCCAACCTTAACTTGTGGGGTTGTGTCGGTCAGGGAGTTCAAACAGGAAGCGAGAGGCCCGCCCTCATAGTGACTGACTACTTCCAGGACAGAGTTCACCGACACAACCCGACTAGTTGTTAATCCTTCAAGTGGGAGAGGAAAAGCTCATGAGGTTAAAATCAACAACAAGATATTTATAAAGTCACTTGACGATTGTGTTTACCGAGATCCTGGAGGAGGTTAACACTGTACGCTACACATCTTTATTCTTCACCCCATCTGATGTGACCTGGAGGAACAACACATCATAGAGGGCTGTGATGTGCTCTCCATAAACCCTCCTACAAGTTTAGGTCAATGAACGCGATCAGGAATACAGTTACTATAAAGAGGTACTGAGGAGGCGCTGTATGGACCAGTGGGTGTGACTCAAGGGTCTCGGTAAACACAAACCATCAGAGGCCTTTATAAACACCCTGCAGGCACAGTAAATGTTACGAAGCAGAAACTGCGAAAAACTGATGAAATAAGCAGCAAGGGGGAGCGAGGCGACAGAGGACACAGCTGAGGCGGAGATGAGATAAAAAAACAAAAAACAAACAGCAACAGCTTTTTCCAGGTCCCACTCGACAAATGCAGTTGGATCATGTCATCTTGGTTATCCTGATCAGTCAATACAACAATTAATAACCAAGCTAAATGTTATCTTAGTACAGTTATGGGACCGATAGTAACACTAACACCAGCCTGGATCGGTATTTGCCTGTGCCTGGTACTGAGAGAGACAACTGGTATATAATATCCCCAAATATAACTTCCTTTTTCAATACTGATTTAAGTCTTCAGTTGTAGTTATTATTTTTTTTATTAATGGAATGGATGAATTAATTTAGTTTGTATACAATTTATGGGATCAGACCACATTACTTTATCACAGTAAGGTATAGCATCTCTCTCTCTCTCTCTCTCTCTCTCTCTCTCTCTCTCGCTTAGTTCCTGGTGCAGCAAGGACCGAGGCAGCCTGGTGAACAGTTAGTAATATACAGAACATGCTGGTCATACACAAACACGTCTTGAGTGATGCCAAGTCAAGGTTATCTGTACAGATGGTTGTCTCTTGTTGTCGGTGGTCACTACAAGAAGCTGCATCACACTAACATCACAAGCTTTACTGGATACAACTTTACCGTCAGTGCCTCCAGAGACATGCTGGCTAAATCTATGCTCTAAGACAGTGAACCTAAACATAAAAATGACATAGAAAATTGACTTAATATTACCTAAGTATATTTTGAGAATAACTTACAGTCCACGCCACTTATAAGCCACACACGTTTGGGGGTAAGAGTTGTCTTTACCCCTTCACTGACCACCGATTAATTGCCTGATTTTTGTGTTTGATGAGACGAGGTAAGGGATGGACGCAGGAAGGTTACGGGTTAAACATTTCGAAGCCGCCCGTCTGTGTGGCTTATAAGTGGCGTTGGCTGTACAATATATATATTACCTGCATATATTGAGAACATGTAACACTCGCTTCAAAAAGTATCTTTCCGGAGTGGTCCGATGGTATACGACTCCTGTTGTCTCGGTAGGGTTGTCAAAATCCTTCGTCCGTCGTGTCATATCATCTCACACAACATCGCAAAGATACTTTTTTGGAGTGAGTGTTACAATGTATACTTAATGCTACCTGAATGTACTGCTGAATCATTTAAAGGTCTGAAATTGTCTCATTAAACAGAATAACAGATAACACTTCCTAAATGTTTATCCACATGTTGATAAGTAAATCCTTAGAGAGGAAACAATGAACCTCCAGTAAAGTCCCCACCACTACTCCATCACAGGCACCGTCGAGGGAGTGCCAGGGGTGGAGGAGGAGTGCCAGGGGTGGAGGAGGAGTGCCAGGGGTGGAGGAGGAGGAGTGCCAGGGGTGGAGGAGGAGGAGTGCCAGGGGTGGAGGAGGAGTGCCAGGGATGGAGGAGGAGTGCCAGGGGTGGAGGAGGAGGAGTGCCAGGGGTGGAGGAGGAGGAGTGCCAGGGGTGGAGGAGGTAGGAGTGTTGGAGAGTGACGTACCTGGAGTGAGACTCGGAGACCCGTGGATGAAGCCGAAAGCTGGAGGGAGAGTGAGAGAGATCAGTAACCTCTTATATCACAGTGACCATGGCAACCGCAGCACACCATGGCAACCGCAGCACACCATGGCAACCGCAGCACACCATGGCAACCGCAGCACACCATGGCAACACGTAAGCAATACTTACCCCATTGCCTATTCAGACTCACCTTTCTATCTACACAGAATAACAACAAAATGTAAGAAAATTTTCGAAAAACTACAAAAAATAAATAAATTTCTCAAACTCTCACAGAAATAAACATTAAAATTAATCCTTGTTTAAATCTTCAAACTATTTAAAGAAACATTTAATCTATAACCACTTACTCCCCCACTCCTCCGCTCGGAAGACAACACTGACTTACCTGTTCCTCGTCTCTCTAACGTAACCTGGAAATATAGCTCACATAACACGGTGTTAGTGAGGCGACGACTGCGCTAACATGCGGTTTATGGGATGTTAGTTCTTTACTGGGATTAAATACAAAATAACTAAAACAAGATTAAACCTTAACATGTCTGTGTATATAAGGTTTTAATACGTGTCCACATGGTTAAGTACATGCATGTTTATTATAAGGGACATACGCATATATATACACACAAACATCCTACATAATAAATATATAATACAAGTTAGTGAGGACAGGACAATCAAGAGCAGCAAGTTGAGGTGTTTGCTGGCAGAAGTGTTTGCTGGCGGTGTTAGGGGGTAAGGAACACCCCAGAACGGTCAACACCTCGAGAGACTTAAAGAGTTATCGTGAGGTTGATTTTTTTTTTTTGCGTTAAAACAATTCGTCGACTGTCATAATTAACAACTTTAAAAGGAGAAATTTTCGGTCTCTTGAGTAAACCATCTGAGGACTCCACTACTATAAGCTTGCCAGAGGAGGAAACAAGGAAAGGCGTGGGGGAATGATAGCGAGATCAGTCCTCAATGACACAGCAGATGGTAGGTACTGTCTGCTAGTGTATCATTAGTACTGACGCAACAAACAGAACAGATCTCACCTGAAGCTCAATACTACATCATCCTTTCCTTCTCGCTAAAAAAACAAAAACAAGTTGAGATTTGAAAGTGATGGAATGAACCTGTGTGTTGGTTCTTGGGTGAGCTGAGGCTGCTCCAGCGCTCGTATCTTAAGTAGGGATCATTAATAGTGAGCTGCAAGTGAGGTGACTCACACACACATACACAAGCGCAGAGGTGCAACTTACCCCTAGAAGTCTCCGGCTGTGCGAGGAGGGTGCCAGTCTCCTTATCTGTGACGGCAGGAGAAGTGACTTCTGCTTCCTCAGACAGCGTGTCGGTCACCGAGGCTGCCTGAGTGTCAACCACCACAGGGGAAGAAGGTGCCAGAGAGGGCGGAGGGGTAGACAAGGAAGGTGTGGGCACCGCCGTGGCCAAGGATGGATCGAACAGTTGAGGAGAGTCAGTGATGAGGTGGACCTGTTCCTCAGCTAGGGTGGTGAGAGTAGAGGTGAGGATGGTGAGGGTGATAGAGCGCTGACCACCCAGGATGGGCAGCAAAGTGGTGGTGGTGTAGGTGGTGTAAACCACGTTAGAGCCGGTGGCAGCTTCAGCCTGGGTGGGCGTTCGTTGACGGGTGACTGATGGTGTAAGTGTCCGAGTCGGTGCTACGAATTTCGTGTACGTTCGTTCGCGTTTCAGAGCTTCGATAATATCAAAGGAGCTGGTCGTGATTTCGAACTGTGTTGGCCTCACAAACTTAGGTTTCAGTGTTGAAACAGTGTGAGAAACATCAACAACTGGGTCAAGGGGAGGGAGGGGTTCCACGGATGCCTCAGGTGGCTGCGGGTCGCTTACAACAGCTCCATCAACCACTGGCGACTCAGTATACTCGTCTTCATAATAATAGTAGTCGTCATACACGTACTCTTCATCAACAACATCCGGTTCCTTGGTGACGGTCACAGGTGGAGCTTCAGGCAACTCGACCTCCGGCTGTGACGGAGTCGTGAACCTGAGTCGTGGCTTTGAGGTGGTCGTAGTCTTCTTCAGGTCTTGCTGCACCACGAAGGGCCGCGACGGTCGCTCAAAGCCTGGCCTGCGGATGATGGGGATGTCGTCTCTGCGGATTGACTTTCTTGGAGGTCGAGTTGGACGAGTTGGAGTTGGGGTGGGTCGTGGTGCCTCGCTTATTGCCTCTACAGGTACTGCATCTAATAGGGACTCCTCTACAGGCACTACTTCTAATAAGGACTCCTCTACAGGTACTGCCTCTAATAGGGACTCCTCTACAGGCGTCTCTTCACTCGGTTGTGGGCGTGGTGTAATCCTAACTTCATCCGGCAGTGGGCGTGGTGTAAACCTATCTTCATCCGGCAGTGGGCGTGGTGTAATCCTAACTTCATCCGGCAGTGGGCGTGGTGTAAACCTATCTTCACTCAGAGGTGGGCGTGGTGTAAACCTGTCTTCAACCAGTGATGGGCGTGGTGTAAATCTGGACTCGTCCAGTGGTGGGCGTGGTGTAAATCTGGACTCGTCCAGTGGTGGGCGTGGTGTAAATCTGGACTCGTCCAGTGGTGGGCGTGGTGTAAATCTGGCCTCGTCCAGTGGTGGGCGTGGTGTAAATCTGGACTCGTCCAGTGGTGGGCGTGGTGTAAATCTGGACTCGTCCAGTGGTGGGCGTGGTGTAAATCTGGACTCGTCCAGTGGTGGGCGTGGTGTAAATCTGGACTCGTCCAGTGGTGGGCGTGGTGTAAATCTTTCCCCAAGTGAAGGTCGTTGTGGGGGTGACGGGGCTGGCCGTCTACCCTGGCCTGGGCGGGAGAACCTGAAGGGCGATTCCGTGCTCGGCCTATCCCGTTCCTTTGGGGACTCAGATGTGACCTCGATCGCCGGAATATCAGGGTCTGTAGGGAGGTGGTCAAGAGCCGACTCTTCCCGTGGCAATTCAGGGTCTGTAGGGAGGTGGTCATGGGCCGACTCTTCCCGTGGCAGCTCAGGGTCTGTAGGGAGGTGGTCATGGGCCGACTCTTCCCGTGGCAGCTCAGGGTCTGTAGGGAGGTGGTCATGGGCCGACTCTTCCCGTGGCAGCTCAGGGTCTGTAGGGAGGTGGTCAAGGGCCGACTCTTCCCCTGGCAGCTCAGGGTCTGTAGGGAGGTGGTCAAGGGCCGACCCCTCCAGTGGCAGCTCAGGGTCTGTAGGGAGGTGGTCAAGGGCCGACTCTTCCCGTGGCAGCTCAGGGTCTGTAGGGAGGTGGTCAAGGGCCGACTCTTCCAGTGGCAGCTCAGGGTCTGTAGGGAGGTGGTCAAGGGCCGACTCTTCCCGTGGCAGCTTAGGAGTCTGGAATGGGGTTGTCTCCTCCGGGGTGTCGACGGTCAGTGAGTCAGACGGAGCCTCACTAACAGGTGTGATGGGTCTCCTCCTGGTGACCGTTACTCTGACTCTATTGCGTGGATCAGCGAACCTGACGGTGCCACGGCCACGGTTTCGCACACCAGGTCTCGAAGGCTCTGGCAGTTCAGGTATAGTAGTGACTACATCTCTAATTAAGGGCGTCGAGTCTTTCCTCTGCCCATGCTGTGACGCTTGGCCTCTTGCCTGAGTCTCCCTGAAGCTGCTGGTGGTGAGGAAGGGCGTGTCTGTAGGTGCCACAGGTTCCTCTTCCACCAGAGAAGATTGAAGGGTGGCCGGGGCGGTAGGTGGGCGCCGGCGAGGTACCTGAGTGGTAGCCTCAGTAACGTCTGAGGTCACCGACTGCTGCTGAGCCTCCACGTTCTGTCTTACGGCTTCTGGGGACAGATCAACTAAGGTAGCCGAGGCCAGGAAGACCTGTGTGGTGAGGGAGTTGAGGACACGTTCTCCTAAGGTGGCTATGCTGTTTCCCATTTCCAGTGTATAAAATCCTCCAACAGCGGTCCCGGTTTGGAAGGTTGGCAGAACGGACACAACAGTGGGTTCCACCTCGTTGGAGACGGTGACTTCTCTCGTGGAAACGTAGAACGGCGTGTCGTTCTCGTACTGGGTGTAAAGGTACGAGTAAACAGTATAGTAAGTACTGACTGTGGCCACCAGGGGACGCAGTGGACTGGCGACCACCGTGGGTTGAGGAAGACGACGGGTCACTACCACGCGACGACGTCCGCCAGGCAGAGTCATGGTCTTGTCAGCCTCCACGGTGTTGGTCACCTGCACCTGTCGCCGGCTAGTGACTGTTATACGGACACGCTGTCGGCTACCCGGTCTACCTGGAGCCTCTTCCTCGATGTCCTGTTCTTCTGTTTCCATTATCTCATGTGTTGCCGTTGTTGAGTCCTTGTCAGCTGTGTCAGCTGAAGGACTTCCAATTTTTTTTAAATCTTCAAATTGTTGAACATTCTCCTCAATCGCAGGCGACACAGGTGTTGGCCGAGCAGGTATATTAACATTTATAGGCTGCTGTCCATCAATTGGTTGATCAGAGGCAGCAAGAACATCACTCTGTATCTGGTTGACAGGTCGGCGTCGCGTGACCACCGTCCTCACACGGTCATCTGTCTGTGACGGCCTCATCGGGCGCTTACGGGTCAGGACGACGACACGAGGCTTATGTTGAGTGTCAGAGTCGCTGTCTGGTTGAATAATGAGTTGAGGGCTGAGATGTCCACGCCCTGGCTGAGGAACTCTACGTCCTGTTAGTCTCACCCCTTGAGGAGAACTAGGACTACTCACTAATGGTTCCCCGAAGTGTTCTGGGTCAGTTGGCTGTGCTGGCCCAAAGTGTGGGATGACTGGTCCAAATGGTGGTGGAGGCTCCGTGAAGGTGGGATCAGGCACTGGCCGAGGCTTGCCGGGGATGATGGCATCCTCCAGTGTAAACTTGGCCTGGATTCCTGGAACATCGGTAAGCAGAGACTCCTCACCGTCAGTTCTGGTGAAGTCATCAAGGCGGACATTGCCATTCGTGGCCAGTTGAGTGATGGTCTCCTCAGAGCTCTGAACATACTCGCGGCCACCATCATCCACCAGCGTGGTGTAATAGGTGAAGGTGGTGTAATAGGTGGTGGGAGCCTGGAGCTGGTGGACCTGCTCAGAGATCAGACGACTCTGTAGCCTCAGTCCTGGAACATTAAACTGGCTGAGCACTGGCTGTTTGCCATCTATACCATCAACAATCTGCTGTTGTGTCCCGTCCTGGATCTTACGGGCTTCAGGAAACCCGGTGTTGCCCCTTTGTGCACTTCGAACATTCCGCTTGAGCGGGGCTGACTCAGCGGGGCCTACCCATAAAAAAGGCTGCGAGTTGAAGGAGTGGGTCTCATTTTGGCGAATCATCGGTACCTGGTCAATGTATTCCGTCAGGTCTCCCACCACAGACTCTAGACTGGGCGTCACTTTACTGATCTCATTAGTATCGATTTCATTCATGGCAGACACAATAAACCAGTCCATGTCATCCTCACTGTAGGTGTCAGGGAGTTGGAAGAGACCTTTGTCAGTCTCAATATAGTGAGGGAGAACTGTTGCCTGAACTTCTTTAGTGTTTAAGGAATCTCGTTTCCTGCGAGTGGCGTCTCCGCTGAGGGTGACGGTGGAGAGGATGGTTGAGAACTGCCCGGGTTGTCGACCCGACACGTACAACGTGACAATTGACGTCTCCACCAGGGCAGGTGTAGGGGCGGGCTCAAGTTTGGCTCTCTGGGTGTCTTGTTTCTGGTTCTGATGTTTCAGGAGCTGCTCTAACAACTGGGGGTCAACTTTTGAGGCTTCAATGGAGGGCTCCCGTGTGGGTCTGATTTGAGGCGCTTGTTGCTGCAGCTGTCCCTGGAGGAGGAACGGCAGCAGCTGGTTGAGGGGGTTGGCATTGGTTAGTGGACTGAGGGTGTTGAAAGCGACGACTGTCTCGGTGCTCAGCTCTGTTGCCGTCACCACCTCCTCATTTGACTCGACTATGGTTGTGAAAACGGTTTTCCCACGGAAGATGATGGGAATGGATGTAGACACAACGTTGGTGACGGTGGTCACGTAGGATCTTGTGTGTACCACCTCACTAGTTGCCTGTTGGTTATTAAGGCCTAGTGCTGCTAACAGTGGGTTCTGAGGTTGCTGTTGCTGGCCTAACAGCAGCTGCAGCAGCTGTTGAATGTCGCCGCCTTGTTTCGGTTTAGTGATGGTCACAACATTATAGGCAGTGGAGGGAAGGACGACAGAGGCAGAGGTGCGGCGACCTCCGATAAAAGTGGGAGTGAAGGTAACTGTGGTGGTCTCCACGGGGTCCACCACGTAGTGAGTCACCTCGTTGCCGCCGTCAACGGTACTGAGCAGCAGCTTGATGACGCCATCGATTTCAGTCTGGGTGATCTGGTCAGGCTGAATTACCTCAGTTTGTAAGGAAGCGGTGATGACCTCCTTCTGGATCGTCGTGCCATCTTCCACCAGAGGAATCGTCGCCTTGACAGGAGTTTCGCGTGTGATAGTAATTTCATCCTGGATCAAAAAGCCTCCATCTTCACTGGGGAAAATGGCCGGCGGCTCTGTTGTGATAGGAGGTGAAGGTCTGTTCCTGAACTCCTTTATGGGGTTTGTGGCTGGAGGTTCTCGACTGATACGAGTATCTTTCCTTAAAGATGTTGGCCTCCTGATGGGGCTGCTGGCGGGGCGTGGGGGAGTAAACTTACTAGAGGAGCGGAAACTGTTGTCTGTAGATGGCCGCCTGAAACCTCGATCCCGGATGTTTCCTAAAGGAACAGCTGACCTGGTCCTTGACGAGCGCAATCTTGTTGGTAATGAAGAGCGGCTTGGGGACTCTGAACGGGTGGGGGGTTTTGGCTCTGTATCCTGGTTGATGTTAAGTCGAGCTCTTGAAGCAGCTCTCGAGTTTGTTGCGTCTCTAGCATTTGTTGTAGCTCTAGCTCTAGCATTTGTTGTAGGTCTAGCATTTGTTGTAGGTCTAGCATTTGTTGTAGGTCTAGCATTTGTTGTAGGTCTAGCATTTGTTGTAGGTCTAGCATTTGTTGTAGGTCTTTTATTTGTTGTAGGTCTAGAATTTGTTGTAGGTCTAGCATTTGTTGTAGGTCTAGCATTTGTTGTAGCTCTAGCATTTGTTGTAGGTCTAGCATTTGTTGTAGGTCTAGCATTTGTTGTAGGTCTAGCATTTGTTGTAGCTCTAGCTCTAGCATTTGTTGTAGGTCTAGCATTTGATGTAGGTCTAGCATTTGATGTAGGTCTAGCATTTGTTGTAGGTCTAGCATTTGATGTACGTCTAGCATTTGTTGTAGGTCTAGCACTTGTTAGAGGTGCACGAGCCTTCGTCCGCCCAGTATTACTATTCGTCAGAGTAAACTGGGAGCCAGTATCCTTTTCAACAGGTGTAGCCGCTGAAGGACGTTCCCTGCCACGATGTCTTGTGGGAAATCTTGGTGATGACGACGGGGGCAACAACGGCAGTGTGGTGCGGGAGCGACCAGCCCTAGCGGTGCCTCGTGATGATGTCCTCATACCAAAGTCTGTCTGACGCTTCCTCCTGATCAAAGGTTCCTCGTCTATAATCTCGTCAGCCTCAGAAAGTATTTTCGCTACTTCCTCTGGCGTCAGAAGTCGACCATCAGCTTCAACAAACACTGGTTCAACTTTGGAAGGCTGGTTGTCCAGGTCTTCTTTTAAACCATTTCTACGAGGGAACAACTTGGAGAGGTCAGCTCTGTTCTGGCGGAAACGGCTACGTCTACGCTCATTCAAGTTCAGGTGGTCTATACGGAAACCTCCAGTCCTGGGCGCTTTAGTGGTGGTGGAAGGCCTTTGACTCTTTGTTTCTGTTAAGGGTGAATTTGTGTCAGATGGCGTGTTGACGGCCGGAGAGAATCGGCTGGCACTCGGCGCCTCTCTCGGGGAATTGGTGCCTGCTGGGCGACGGTTGAACAGGGTGAAGGGGATGGATGACCTTGTGCCTGGGACATTTGTAGGACGTTTCGGCCGGAAACTGAAATTTCGGAATCCTGCTTCAGGGTTGTTGGAGGCAGATGAAGAATGAGAAGGCACAAACTCCTCCCCCTCCTCCTCCTCCACCAGCTCGTCAAATAGTGGAAGATCAGAAAGTGGAGCTGCTGTGGTCACCAACCTTGGAAGAACTGAGGAAGGCGATAACACTTTACTGCTGCCAGGGAAGACAGAAGAACGAGAGCCAGTAAACCTGAAGCCTCCTGGACTGCTTGAACCAAACCTTTTTAAACTGCTCGAAGCAAACCTGAACCCAGGCGAACTGTGTCTGATACTTGATGTACCAAAGAACCCAGGGCGTGAGGAGCCTTTGGGGACACTTTCAACTCCGGTGGACTGGAAGCGGAAGCGGACAGATGAGGGGGTTTCTGATTTCCGGATACTGGGGTTATCCAGGAAGCCGAACCGGAATGGGCGAGAGGTGGATGTGAGTTCTTCATATTCAGAATCACTTGCAGGAGTCACTGTTGGTGTTTCATCGTCCCTGGGGATGGTGGCCGGGCGCTGGCGGAAGGTTGTGCGCCTCACTATGGGTACAAAATCTTGCCTCCTGCGTGATCCTGGAATCCGCAGAGGGAACTGATTACGACTGGGCGATGGATTGGTCTTCGTCTTTAAGGGCGAATTAACCTCTTTCTCTGGGAGCTCTGTGGTGTCTTCCTCTGGCAACGCTTCTGTGGCGGTGTCCCCGGAGGCTACATCAGTCGTCAGGTCCCGCAGGGAAGAGTCGAGGGTCGGTGTCGCGAACAGAGTCGGTACAAAGACAGGAGCCTCCACTTCATCATTTGTGGTTAAGGGGAAGATTGGCTCAGGGGTAGCTGGAGAGGGCGTCACATCCTCGCTGGTGGTGGGGAGGAAGAAGAAGGGCACTGTCGACGTGGTCTCCTTGGTGGTCGTCGGCGAGAAGAAGCCTAACACAGGTTCAGACGTCGGTAGGACAACAATACTGGTCGTGGACTGAATCTGAGCGTAAAGTCCATCTACGACAGTGCCGATGATGTTGGTGGAGAAGATGGTGGTGGTGCCGTCAACAACAGTGCTGCCCCGGATGGTAGACAGAAGACCAGTGGACTTGGTCATTGTGGCCCCAAAGGTGTCGTCCAGCTCTGGAGACTTGCCTGTGGTTGCAAATCCAAATGGTTCCTCCTCTGTGGTGGTGAAGCCAAATGGTGTGCTCTTACTTGTAGTGAAACCAAATGGACTATCCTTTGTCACATCGAAGCCAAATAGATTTTCCTCTGTAGTATCGAAGCCAAATGGTGTATCTTCAGTCGTACCGAAGCCAAATGGTGTATCTTCAGTCGTATCAAAGCCAAATGGCGTTGCCTCAGTGGTAGTGAAGCCAAATGCTCTATCATCAGTCGTATCGAAGCCAAATGTTCTATCTTCAGTCGTATCGAAGCCAAATGTTCTATCTTCAGTCGTATCAAAGCCAAATGGCGTTGCCTCAGTGGTAGTGAAGCCAAATGCTCTATCATCAGTCGTATCGAAGCCAAATGTTCTATCTTCAGTCGTATCGAAGCCAAATGGCGTTGCCTCAGTGGTACTGAAGCCAAATGTTCTATCTTCAGTCGTATCGAAGCCAAATGGCGTTTCCTCAGGGGTAGTGAAGCCAAATGTTCTATCTTCAGTCGTACCGAAGCCAAATGTTCTATCTTCAGTCGCATCGAAGCCAAATGGCGTTGCATCAGTGGTAGTGAAGCCAAATGGCGTTGTCTCAGTGGTAGTGAAGCCAAATACTATATCTTCAGTCGTATCGAAGCCAAATGGAGTTGCCTCAGTGGTAGTGAAGCCAAATGGTGTTGCCTCAGTGGTAATGAAGCCAAATGGTATTGTCTCAGTGGTAGTGAAACCAAATGGTGTTGCCTCAGTGGTAGTGAAACCAAATGGTGTTGCCTCAGTGGTAGTGAAGCCAAATGGTGTTGCCTCAGTGGTAGTGACGCCAAATGGTGTTGCCTCAGTGGTAGTGACGCCAAATGGTGTTGCCTCAGTGGTAGTGAAGCCAAGTGGTGTTGCCTCAGTGGTAGTGAAGCCAAATGGTGTCGTCTCAGTGGTGGTGTGCTCCTCAGCGAACACTGTATCGATGGTGGTGGTCGGGTTGGTCGACACGACGTTGGTGATGGTCTTGAGGCGACTGTTGACGATTGTCTGATCCCCAACGTAGGTGGATGTGTAGTAGGTGTAGGTGGTGTAGAAGGTGGTGACGGCGGGTGTGGAGGTGACTGAGATGGCAGGGTAAGCTTCAACGGTGGGGACCAGAGGCTCAGGGAGAACAGTGGGGATCGTTGTCGGCTTCGCCGTCGGTGTGACAATGTTCGACCTGGTCTCCTCAGAGCTAGTAGAGACGGTAGTGTTCTCCTTGAAAAAGGTGGTCCAGTAGGTGTATGTGGTGTAGTAGGTGACAGGGTAGGTGGGTACTACAGGGGTGAGAGTCTTGTGCCTCTCCTGTTCGCTCGGGTCAGTTACCACGTTGGTCAGTGTCTCGAGGCTGCTGACGATGGAGGAGGTGTTGGAGTGGTAGTAGGTGGTGAAGTAGGTGTAGGTGGTGTAGTAAGTCTTCGGGTAGAAGACAGCGTTCACTTCTTCCTCAGGGACGAGAGAGGAGTCCAGAGATACTCCCGGGGCTTCTGTTACGTCTTGGGCTGATGAGTCTGTTGACGACTCTGACATGCTTTCTGACATGGACTCTGTAAAGGATTCCAAGACGGACTCTGTGGTCCTCTCATAGTCGTCCACACTGATGGCCTCAATCACAGTAAGATCCAATTCCCCTGGAGTATCCTCCGTAGTCTCTGGTGCTGGGGTGGTAGTAGGGGGCGTTGGGGTGGGAGTAGTTGTGGTTGTTGTGGTTGTTGTCTTTGTCGTGGTAGTTGTCACAGTAGTGGTAGTGGTCGCGGTAGTGGTCGCGGTCGCAGTAGTGGTCGCGGTAGTGGTCGCGGTCGCGGTCGCGGTCGCGGTAGTGGTCGCGGTCGCGGTAGTGGTCGCGGTCGCGGTAGTGGTCGCGGTCGCGGTAGTGGTTGCAGTAGTGGTCGCGGTAGTGGTCGCAGTTTTGGTAGTGGTAGTGGTTGCGGTAGGTACGAGAGTTAAGAACGAAGGAAGAGATTTTGAGATGGTGGCTCCAACCTCCTTGGTGAGCACCTGTGTGTGGCTGGACACCTGTATGGACCCGTCAACAAAGAGAGTGGTGTAATAGGTATATGTGGTCAGGTAGGTAGACGCTGGCACTTCAGTTGGCTGAAGCTTAACCATTGTAGGCGAGGAATCTGTTGTTGTGGTCTCCAGACGTGTTGAGACAGTCGTTGCACCATTAGTGAAGTAGGTGGTGTAGTAGGTGTAGGTGGACACTGAGTCACTTGTTGGCTGAGGTGTGGTGGGGTCAACCTCCTCCCCTAACTCTTTATCACTGCCGGTGTCCACTATCAGCTGTTGGCCGGGGCTCGAGGCCACAGATCTTCCAAGGGCGTTATCCACAATGTCTTCAACAACCGCCGGTAGATCCTCTGTGGTGAAGCCGTCGTACTCGTAGTCATTGTAGAATTCTGTTGTTGGTTCCGGTAGTTCAGGGCCGAGTGTGGCAGTGATGGGCTGTAGTGAGGACGTGGCCTGCACTGCTTGGGCCCCAGCTGAACGGGACACAAGGTAGAAGATGCTGGAGGTACTCTGCACTATCTGTGCATACTGACCCTGGATATAAGTGCCGTACACATAGGTGGTGAGCAGAGTGGTCATTTCATTGCTCACAATTGTTCCTCCAATAGAAGAAACAAGACCCGTGGGGTACAAGTCATATGTGTTGAACCTTTGAGTAGAGATGGTGGAATAAACGCTGCCGGCCGCGTCGTCGCCATGCTTCTCCTGGTCAGCTGTCTTCACCGAGGTTCCCTCCGTCTGTGTCACCATCCGGGTCTCCATGTTTTGTTTGTTGTCAAATTCATTCGTAGTCGTTCTGAAAGGCTGAGTTTCTGATGGCATTCCTGTGATACTGTCTTTCTTCTCTTCCCTGGAACTAGCGAGGCGGGGCGCTAGAGTGGTCAACACCGGAGGGGGTGTTGGTAAGGTCGGCTTCACTGTCACAGGTGGTTGTGTCTCTACGGTTTTCGTCACCTGTGGCTTCACTTCCTTATTTGGGGTTTCTGTGCGAGGTGTAAACACCACGACGGTGCCGGCGATGGTGGTAGTGAAGTCAGCAAATCCAACATAAGAGACAGTAGGAAGATCAGAGTCTGTTCCTCCACTTTCAAGGTTGTATCTCGACCTGATGTCGGTGACGGACTTGGCCTCACGCTGGCGAGATTCGTGGTGCCGCTCACTCACGCTCTTTTCTACAGACTTCTCCATCATTTTGCCCAAATTCTTGCTGATCGCGACAACCTGCTCGAGAGGAACGTTGATCTGCCCGACGGTGTATGTAGGAAGGTTTGCCTCTAATGCACGAGAAGGACGAAGGCCGACAATGATCTCCCCGTCACCAACACGAACCTTCCGAGCCCGGAGCAGCGACACGTCTATCTCATTATCCAAGTCGCTCGTCTCACGGAGCTTGTCGGCCATACTGAGTACCGTCACCTCTTCCGGGTGTTTGACAGACTGCGGCTGCACCATCCTGGTGTGGGCGACGGGGCGGCCGATGGTGATGGTCAACATACTGGTCTCGCCACTCTGGCTCTGAGTGCCCTCCATGTCGAACCCTTCAGACCCCTCGATGAACACCCCGCCCATGATTCGCCCGTCCACCACACCTTCACCCATCAGAAGGTCGGGAGCAACTGTTGAGTCAATCTTCTGGGTTTTGGATGGCATTATTACCTGAAGATCCTGTTCCATATCCACTAAAATTTTGGACTGGTTCCCACCCTTCTTGAGGACCACTTCAGTGTGGGTCTGGGTGCCGGGAACAGGACCAGTGATCCCCGGGGCGTGTGGCAGCGCCGTGTTACCGAAGAAGAAGAGGTACGTGCGACTATCCTTGACGTAGGAGCCGGTGAAGACATTGTAAGTGGTGTGGTGTGAGGGTCCGTCCTTGATGAACTGACCCTGAGTACCCGTCAGCGTCACTACCTCATCGGCTGCGGGTTGAGGGTTAATGGAACCATCTAGCAGACTGACCTGTAGCTGGGCGTGCTGACCACCTGAAGCCTCGGTCAAGAAGGTACCCTGAACGGGGATGCTGAAGGCCACTGTGGGAGATGAAGAAGGATCAGAGTGTATGTCCGTCATTGTCTCAATCAGCTGAGCGTAGGTACCGTCAATGTGTGTGTGTAAGTAGCGCGTAGTGTACACCGTGGTGACAGTTTTGTCGACACGGGTGTACAGATCAGACGACGCCAATCCCTCGGGCTGTCCACTGTGCAGTCTGGTCGGTATGGCATAAAACACGCGAGAAGACGTCGAGGTGACCTGAGCGTAGCGTCCGTCGTGAAGGTGAGTCCCGTACACAAGCGTGGCGTACTCTGAGGTGGTGCCGTCATTGATGAAGGTGTCCACGGTGGAGGAGAGGAGCCCCCTGTCTCCTTCAGTCTCTACGGGTGCCAGGAACACCTCTGTCGTGCTCCCCTTCCCCACTACAGTCCGCACGCCTTCTGAAGCTGGTCAGCCAGTCAGCGTCAGTTATAGGTGGTGGTAGTGGTAGATGGTGGTAGTGAGAGGGATGGTGGTAGATGGTGGTAGTGAGAGAGATGGTGGTAGATGGTGGTAGTGAGAGGGATGGTGGTAGATGGTGGTAGATGGTGGTAGTGAGAGAGATGGTGGTAGATGGTGGTAGTCAGAGGGATGGTGGTAGATGGTGGTAGTGAGAGGGATGGTGGTAGATGGTGAGTGGGATGGTGGTAGGTGGTAGATGGTAGATGGTGGTAGATGGTAGTGAGAGAGAGATGTAGTGGTAGATGGTGGTAGTGAGAGGGATGGTGGTAGATGGTGGATGGGGTGAGTGAGAGGGATGGTGGTAGATGGTGGTAGGGGTGGTAGATTGGTAGTAGAGGGATGGTGGTGGTGGTAGTGAGAGATGGTGGTAGATGTTGGTAGTGAGAGAGATGGTGGTAGATGGTGAGTGAGAGGATGGTGGTAGTGGTAGTAAGAGGGATGGGAAGATGGTGTGAGAGGATGGTAGAGGGATGGGATGGTAGGTGAGGATGGTAGGGTAAGAGATGGTGGTAGATGGTGGTAGTGAGAGGGATGGTGGAGGTGGAGTGAGAGTGGTGGGTGAGAGGGATGGTGGTAGAGTGGGGAGGGATGATGGTAGATGGTGGTAGTAAGAGAGATGGTGGTAGATGGTGGTAGTGAGAGGGATGGTGGTAGGTGGTGGTAGTGAGAGGGATGGTGGTAGATGGTGATAGTGAGAGGGATGGTGGTAGATGGTGGTAGTGAGAGGGATGGTGGTAGTGAGAGAGATGGCACTAGTGAAGGAGTGGTAGCAGAATAAGTGGTGTATGGTGGTAGATGGGTGATGGATGGTGGTAGATGGGTGATGGATGGTGGTAGATGGATGGTGTATGGTGGTAGATGGGTGATGGATGGTGGTAGATGGGTGATGGATGGTGGTTGATGGGTGGTGTATGGTGGCAGATGGGTGATGGATGGTGACAGATGGGTGATGGATTAATAGATAAAGATAGATAAATAGATGAATGAACGAATGAATGAAAAAATTAATGAATGAACTGAAATTGAATAGAGAGAAGTGACTCAAGTACACAGGTGACGAGAGAGAGAGAGAGAGAGAGAGAGAGAGGAGAGAGAGAGAGAGAGAGAGAGAGAGAGAGAGGAGAGAGAGAGAGAGAGAGAGAGAGAGAGAGAGAGAGAGAGAGAGAGTAAACAACAACAATGACGTCACAGATATAAACAGAGTGGCCCAATCATCTCAAAGAGGTGCAGTGTGTGGTGAGGATAATGAAGGTTAATAATAATGATAGTGAAGTGAAGTGATAATAATAATAAATAATATGTGTAAATGAGGAGAAAAATGACTCGTGTGTGTGTGTGTGTGTGTGTGTGTGTGTGTGTGTGTGTGTGTGTGTGTGAAGCTGCCATGTCAAACCTACCAATTTAGAACCCTCGGAATGTTTAGTTAATAAATAAATTACCGAACTTAACCTAACCTAACCTAGCCTAACCCAACTTAACCTAACCTAACCTTCGGGACATTAATCAGGAAGTTTTCTAACCTAACCTAACTTACCAAGTCAAACACAGGTCAGAATTGGCAGCTTAATGACACACACACACACACACACACACACACAGGCAGTAACAGGTCAATGAAGGTAACTAAGTCATCAAGGTCATCATAGGTCAATCAAGTAGAGGTCAATTTGTCACATGGGAGACTATCATCACTCACAAATTTGTCTTTTTTGTTAATATAAGCAGTCCAATAATTCGTCATAATTCACAGTAAACAATAAATAATCTTGGGAATTATAATCAATGAAAACAAAAGAGTGCAATAAAAGAATTCACAAGAGGATATATTGAAAATGGTTCAATATTTAAAAAAAATAAATAAAATAAAAAATCTTTGGAAAATATATTGACAGGTATTGTAAGATCGGACAGACAGACAGACAGACAGACACATATATATATATCAATGACAGAATACAGACAGCAAGATCGACACGCGTGAGATAAATTATTAAAAACACATTAAAAAGAGGTAAAGGAATGGATAAATGGGAATGATAAATAAAGAGGAAGAGACAGTAGAGGATGATGTGGGAAGGAAGTAAGGGGGGGGAGAGGAGGAGAAGGGAATAGAGGAAATGGGAGGAAGAGCAGGAGAAGGAGGGGGAATAAAGAAGGATGGGGAAGAGGAAAGGGGTGATAGAGGCAGTGGGAAAAGGAGGAGGAGGAACAGGAAGAAGGGGAATAGAGGAAGTGGGGGGAAAATGGAAGAAGAGGAGGAAGAAAGAGGGGTAAGGTTGCTAGGAGTAGGAAGACTTACCATGGGTCTGTCGTCGACGCCTTCTACGTATCTCCAGGTCTTGGGTCATCTCTGAGGGGCAGATGTAGGTGTTCTTATCGATGCTCACTGTACAGCAGGGGGAGAGGACGGAACACGGGGTTAGTACATCAGTGATCCCTAATGTAAACAACTGTATGAAGGAAACATATGACGAACGCTTTGGGCAACAGAAGAAGAACAAGAGACAGACAGACAGACAGACAGACAGATAGACGGACAGACAGACAGAGATTAGCGTTCACTTACGTTCGTCGGATCCCTCCAGACAGTCGAGGTTGCCGTCGCCCACCAGAGAAGCGTCGACACAACGAGGGAAGCCACACAGGCACTCATGCTGCCAGTCGTCACACGCTATGAAGGAAAACGCGGGTTAGGAGACAGTGCCAAATGAGGGGGAGGTGAGAGACAGTGCCAAAGGAGGGTAGGGGGAACAGGGGTTAGAAGACAGTGCCAAAGAAGGGGTGTGGGAGTGGTGAGGGGGAACAGCGAATAGCGAATCACAGAACATCACGAATAGCGAATCACTGAACATCACGAATAGCGAATCACAGAACATCACGAATAGCGAATCACTGAATATGTATCAGACTTAAGTGGAATAGAGAGTTACAACAAAAGACTTAAGTGGTTTGCCATCAGGTGCGTCCTCAGTGTCCAGTGCTGAAGGCTGTGTTGACTTTCTCACTCATCCTGCCCGTGATATCGAGACCAGTTTATACAGGGTCTCACAACAACACTGATGATGTCAACACAATCTTGCCATCACACTCATCAAGGGACTCTGCCACACCTCTAGGCTACAGTCACTATTACAGTAGGTGATACACAAACTACTGTTCGCTAAATATTGACACACACACACACACACACACACACACACACACACACACACACACACACACACATAAATATGGTTCATTTATTAGGCTACACAACAGGGACGACGCTGCCCACCTAAATGCCCCAAACACGCAATTCAACTGGTTATTCTGTGTAAGGGTTCAGTGATTCACTATCTGCCGGTAACTCATCTGCATCAACGACGCCACAAATGGATTGGAATCAACACTCACTTTCGTCAGACTCGTCGAAGCAGTCAGGTACTCCATCCTGCAGCAGCTCTGGCGACACACACGCTGACCGGTCCTCACACACGTACCAGCCTTCGGGGCAATCTGCGGGAGAGCGAATGGCGTGTTAGATCTAGGGAAATGTAAAAATGAGTAGGGTGAATTTGACACCAGTTGACTAGAGCGTTTGAAAAAAGGTGGAGGTTTAAGACACGTAAGGCTAAGATGAAGTTAGAGTGAAAATAATAACTGAGACAAACCCAAAAAAACAAGAAATTAATTAAATAAGCTCATGGAGGAGTGAGGGAGGAGGGCAGGGGGACAGGGGGAGGGACGTTCACCCCCTGCCCTCCTGAACCCCCCCCCCCCTGAGCCGGGTGACTCGGGACAACTTATAGGTCAGGGATCAGGGTCATGGTCACTCAGCCTTCATAACATTCACGAGAACAAAGAAACACAAGAACAACAACAATTTAACAGATATTTCTCCCAACACCTGACTGACACACACACACACACACACCACACACACACACACACACACACACACACACACACACACACACGTAGGATTATATTAAGATAAATGCAGGTACTAAAATTATCATTGTAATTATCATAAACAGGCCAATAAAATATCTTCTTAAAGTATTACACAAAATAATTACAATTACACCAAAAATGTAAAAAAAAAAATATAATGTAATTCTTTAACCTATTTGTAATTAACCAAGTTAGAAGACAATATATATTAAAACAATGTTACAATGTGTCATTGGTTGTTCTCCATATTTCATTGAGAAGGATGATAGAAGGCGCGGAGGAGGAGAAGTATATATGGGAAGGAAGATAGTAGAAGGAGGGGAGGAGGAGAAGGAGGGGAAGGAAGATAGTAGAAGGAGAGAAGGAGGAGGAGGAAGGAAGATAGTAGAAGGGGGAGGAGGGAAGATAGGAGAGGAGGTAGGAGGAGGGGATGAGGAAGATGGTAGAAGGAGGAGGAGTAGGGAAGGAAGTGAAGAGAATAGAAGGGAGGAGGAGAGTTGGAGAGAAGGAAAGATAGTAAGATGATAGGGAGGAGGGGAAGGAAAGATAGTAGAAGGAGGAGGAGGAGGGGAAGGAGGGGAAGGAAGAGGTAGAAGATGGAGAGGGATGAATGGAGGAGGAGGAGGAAGGAGAAGATGAGTGAGGAAAGGAGGAGGAAGGAGGATAGGAGGAGTAAAAGGAGGGAAGGAAGATATATAGGGAGGAAAGAGAGAGGGGAAAGATAGTAGAAGGAGGAGGAGGAGGAAGGAGGGAAGGAAGATAGTAGAAGGAGGAGAGGAGGGGAAGGAGGAGGAGGGGAAGGAAGATATGAGAGGAGTGGAGGAGGATAGGAAGGAGGTGATGAAGGGGTTGGAAGATAGTATAGATATATAGAGGAGGAGAGGGGAGAGGAGGAAGGAAGATATAGAGGAAGAGGGAGGAGGAGGAGAAGGAGGGGAAGGAAGATAGTAGAATATATGAGGAGGGGAAGGATATAGTAGAATAAGTTGGAGGAATGAGGAAGGAGGGGAAAAGAAGATGAAGGAGGAGGAGGAGGGAAGGAGGGGTGGAGATGATATGGAGTATGAGGAGGGGAAGTAGGAGGAGGGGGGAGATGAATATAGTAGATATGAGGAGGTATGAGGGAATGAGGTAATGAAGATGTAATATATATATGATGAGTGGAGGGAAGGATGGAGGAAGGAAGCATAGTAGAAGAATATATATGTGAAGGAAGATAGTAGTTTGAGGAGGAAGTAGAAGATGGTGAAGGAGGAGGAGGAGGAGGAGGGAAGGAAGATAGTAGGAGGATGGAGGAGAAGGAGATGATAGGAAGATAGAAGGAGGAGGAGGAGGGGAAGGAAATATGAGTAGAAGGAGGAGGAAGATAGGAGAAGGAGGATGTAGGGGGAGAGGAGGAGGAGGGGAAGGAAGATAGTAGAAGGAGGAGGAGGAGGAGGGGAAGGAAGATGGGTAAAGGAGGGGAGGAGGAGGAGGGGAGGGAAGATAGTAGAAGGAGGAGGAGAAGGAGGAGGGAGGGAAGGAAGATAGTGGAGGAAGGAGGAGGAGGAGGGGAAGGAAGATAGTAGAAGGAGGAGGAGAAGGAGGAGGAGGGAGGGAAGATAGTAGAAGAGGAGGAGGATGGGAAGGAGGAGGAGGAGGAAGATAGTAGAAAGGAGGAGGACAAGGGGTAGTAGGAGAAGAAGGATGAGAGGAATGGGAAAAAGGAGAGCAGACAGAGACAGAAAGGGAAACAGGAGAGAGAGAGAGAGAGAGAGAGAGAGAGAGAGAGAGAGAGAGAGAGAGAGAGAGACACCACTATCATCATCATCATCATCATCATCAACATCATTATTCAGTAAAGTCTTCATCATCACTGCTTTTTAGTCTTAGTCTTTTGGGTACGAATCTCCAGGCTTTTAAATTTATCTCATAAACAAGATTCAGAGTACACACACACATACACACACACACACACACACACACATACACACACACACACATACACACACACACACACACACACATACATACACACACACACCACACACATACACACACACACACACACACAAACCAAAATTCCATCCCTAATTAAAACAACACTAATAAACCCGTTTCTTTTTAACTTCTTCAATAAACTACTAACGATTTCTAAAAAAGATCCCCCCACCCCTTCCCACCACACACACGTTCGGTTTTCTCCTCCTGCTTGAGAGAAATACAAAAAAAATAGCAACACCCCTCACTCTCTACAGCAGGTGGGGAAAACAAGATCACCAGACAGTTTACACGAGTTAACCCTCCAACCACATTTTCATTACTGACCCGTTTTCTATGATCCTGGAAGCCCTGAGTTGGTAAAGAGATACTTATTTAACTACGCATTACACCTTGATTATATATTTTACGAGATGTTTTTTTTTTTTAGATAAAGGCATTATTAAAACTACTCTGTATATACTATTAAAATTAGTACAATAGGTTTGTTAATATGAAGAAAAAAATAATAGTATCTGATGCGATAAGAATTAGGGGGAAACTTTAGTAATTTGGATTAGATTTACGACAATGTGTCATGTGTGTGTCTGTGTGTGTGTGAGAGTAAGATGACGTGATAAGCCAGAGGTGAAGTGGCTTTGTGTGTGTGTGTGTGTGTGTGTGTGTGTGTGTGTGTGTGTGTGTGTGTGTGTGCATCCACCCTTATTGTGTTGTAATTCTTTACATATTAGTGTGATCAAGACAGACGCTTAACACTTCCCTGTAATTACTGTCGAGAGGCTGATTATAGTTGAGTGGTTTAGTGAATAAGAGTGTTAGGTTGGGTAAGTGCTTTCTGTCTCTCCAAATGGCAAGGAGAGGAGGAATAAAACAAGAAGAACAAGAAGAGGTAGATGAAGAAGAACAAAACAGACATTAAACCATGAACTTTAACGTCGTTTATTTCAAACAAAAAGTAAAGAACACAGGAGAACAATTCCCTCACAAACCAGTCGAGAATTTTTGTCAACATAGTCAAGATATTATTTTTTTTCTAGATTCTTATTTAAATGACGTCCCCACCCCCCTTCCTCCCCACCCCCCACACCCTACCTCCTCCCCACCCCCCTCCCCACCTCCCCACCTACCTCCTCACCCTCAACCCACCCTCACCTTACCTCACCTCCTCCCTCACACCTCACCCACCTCCCTTCCCCACCCCTCACCCCTCACCCCTCACCCCCCTCTCCCTCACCTACCTCCTTCCCTCACCTCACCCTCTCAGACCCCTCACCTACCTCCTCTCACCCCCCTCAGACCCACCTACCTCACCCCTCACCCTGGCTCAAGAATGTATCTATACCCTGGCCAGTGTTGATCAAATCTGGTCTTGAATCAGCTCACACTGATGCCGTTCCAACTCACCAAAAACTTATCCTCGACAATTTTCTGGACTTGTGACTTCTTCAACTTTAAGCTGTGATCATTAATAGGAGCAACATATCCACCTAATAGGAACAACATATCCACCTAATAGGGAGCAACATATCCACCTAATAGGGAGCAACATAACCACCTAATAGGGAACAACATATCCACCTAATAGGGAACAACATATCCACCTAATAGGGAACAACATATCCACCTAATAGGGAGCAACATATCCACCTAATAGGGAACAACATATCCACCTAATAGGGAGCAACATATCCACCTAATAGGGAGCAACATAACCACCTAATAGGGAACAACATATCCACCTAATAGGGAACAACATATCCACCTAATAGTGAACAACATATCCACCTAATAGGGAGCAACATATCCACCTAATAGTGAACAACATATCCATCTAATAGGGAGCAACACATCCACCTAATAGGGAGCAACATATCCACCTAATAGGGAACAACATATCCACCTAATAGGGAACAACATATCCACCTAATAGGGAACAACATATCCACCTAATAGGGAACAACATATCCAATCTAATAGGGAAACAACATATCCAATTAATAGGGAACAAATAGATTCACTCAATAGTAATACAGTCCAAATCTAATAGGGAACAAATATATCCACCTTAATAGGAAATAAATATATCCACCTAATAGGGAGCAAGACATTCACCTAATAGAAACAAATATATCCACCTAATAGGGAATAAATATATCCACCTAATAGGAACAACATATTCACCATTAGGAGCAACATATCCACCTAATAGGGAACAACATATCCACCTAATAGGAACAAACATATCCACCAATAGGAACAGACCAATTCCAATAGGGAACAAACATCCACCTAATAGGGAACAAATATATCCACTCATTAGGAACAACATATCCACTCATTAGGGAGCAACATATCCACTCATTAGGAAGCAACATATCCACCTTAATAGGGAAACAAATATATCCACCTAATAGGGAACAACATATCCACCTAATAGTGAACAACAAACATATCCACCTAATAGTGAACAAACATATCCACCTAATAGTGAACAACATATCCACCTAATAGGGAACAACATATCCACCTAATAGGGAGCAACATATCCACCTAATAGTGAACAACATATCCACCTAATAGGG